GATACTAATTTCATTGGCAAATCATCGTATTTACCCAATTAAATTAAGGGTAAATACACAAAATTTAAGAAATTTGTACTTAAAGCTACAGTGTGTAATAATTACAGGGATATACAGTCAGAAATGTAATATATTATACATAACTATGTTATTTATCATCATCTACGAGCTCAGCCTCTTAACCTTAATATTTGCGTTGCCTTAGAATTCGTTATTTATAATTACATAGGAGCGGGTCTCGCAGCCATGGAGGCAGACATCTTGGCGCTACGGCAGCGCAGAGCCAACAAACTAGCGATTGCGAGATCGCCAAAACGTCACAACGATGTAGAAAAAATAACGGGTATATTTATTATCTTAAGTCTACATGAAATCTATACCCTACACAGACTAATGAAATACTATCTGTAAAATTATCTATGTAAACAAACCTCATCACTTGAGAAGGTAGGTGATGCGGTGACCCCTGTTTAAGGTTGGTTTTTCTTTCTTAACATAGATGGCTTCCTTCCTCTCAAACCACCTGTCTTCTTTGTCCAAAATGTGCACATTCTGGTCCTCCAAAGAATGTCCTTTGTCCATCAGGTGTAGACGTAGTGCAGAGTCTTGTCCAGAGGAGGGCGCTCTTCTCTGTTGGCCCATGCGTCTGTGGAGAGGTTTCTCTAATATGCAGCTCTTATCGAACATGCTTGTCTGCAGCTTTTATCAATCATCAGTCCTGAAACGTAGGAATCCTTCTGCTGATCCGACTGAGCTTTTCTCTTCCAGCTGTGATTAAAGTGGCGTCTTCAGAGCGAAGCTCCTCTTTCCACAGATAAACTAAGGAATATTTACAGTTTGCATTCCACTGAATTTATTGTGAGGTTTTCATCTTATTGTTTGAGGCTAAATATGGTTTGAATTAATAACTTAAAGCTATAAAAAAAAAAAAGAAAAGAAAATTTACAATTTAATTTATTCAAACTGAATGGAGTCACATTTAGGGGATTTAAAGTTTATTTTCCAATTGAAAATGTTTTTTTTTTTTTTACATTTTGCAGGTTAAAAGTTTTATATATCTTTGCATGTGGAGATGTGAACAAACCCAACATTCAGGCTTAAAAAAAAACATCATGAAAACAATAATAATAAATCAATAGTCTCAATTCTATTCAGTTTATTTCTATAGCTCCAATTCACATCATGTCATCTCAGGTCACTTTCCAGTTCACCAGATCATCCAGTCAGATTGATTCAAAGTTTTCTATCTAAGGAAAACCAGCTGATTGCATCGACTCATTGACTCTTCAGCAATCCCTCACACTAAGCATGCTTGTAGCGACAGTGGAGAGGAAAAACTCCCTTTGAACAGGAAGAAACCTCCAGCAGAACCAGGCTCAGTGTGAGCGGCCATCTGCTGAGGCCCACTGGGGTTCAAGGAGACAGAAGCAGACATAGAAAAAGAAGCATAGATACAAAAGGCAACTGTCAACCAGCTCCACTCTCATCATTTACAGTAAAACTAAAGAACTTATTTCAGAGGCGGAACTTTAACAGAAATAAATTCTGAGCAAACAGAAAAGATTTCAGGAGGAATTTCAAATTTGAACTGAAAAGCATATTTTTTTGTAAACAGGAAACAAACTATTTTATATTTCATCAGTTTTTTTTTAGTTTATATATCTTGGGTGCGTTTTTTGGCGGCGCTGCTTGGATCCTTCCCATGATGCCCTGCAGGCTCTCATTCCTCCTGTGGAAGATGCCGCCTGGCATTCCTGGGCTCCGAACCCGTCGCATGCCGTCACTCGTTGGATGGATTGTTGGGATGGGCGGGGCCTCTGCTGGAATCCACTGAAGCTGAATTCTTCCAGAATCTGTTCAAACGAGGAGTTTAGGTCCTCCAGGTTTCTGTTGTGTTGCGTTCAGGGCCTCCTGGACGTCCCGCTGACTGATGAGTCCTCGGTGGGTGAGGAAGGCTTCAGCTCTCAGGTTCCAACACGCCGCCTCCCTCTGCAGGCATCCCAAACATCCCAGCTGTTCTCAGCCGTCCGTCACAGACTGCTCCCAGTTCTGGTTCTGGTTCTGGACTGTTTGGGTTCCGTCTGCAGGAAAATGGCTCCTGGTTGTTTGATCAGTTTATCTGAAAGGTGGTTCTGTTCGGCCCGGATGATCCGGGTCGCTGAAGGTCCGTGTGGACTGACTGTAGAAGGGTTCTGATGGTTTGTCCGGTTCTGTACGACCCGTTCCATTTTTGGATCATTCCAGCCGATGGTTCTGTTTGACTCCAAACTTGGAGTTTTTCCAGGTCAGTTCTTCATGCTCCAAAGTTCTGAGCCCGGCTCGGTTCCTTTGTGGTCCGTTGATGGTGTCCTCCACTGATCCAATCTGTCCCAACAGAACCGGTTCTGTATCCCACAGACTGTTCCTCCTTTTGACCGGAACCGTTCATGATCCAACAGTTCAGTCCAGAACCGGACCAGAACTGATTCAGACATCGGCCATGTTCTGACTTTTACAGTCGGAACCCCAACAGGAACTCTGATGGTTCTGGAACAGGGCCCGTTTGGACTGAGGTTTTGATCAGATTAAGGGGAAGTTTTTTTTTCCGGGTCTAACGGGAGAAGACTCATTCTGTTGGAGTGAAACCGGGTCGGGTTATATGAGTGACCCAGTTTCCTGCAGGCGGAGCCGCCTGTCATGCGGGTCGGTCCGAACAGAACGGTTCTGAGGCTGTTTGTGGTGAAGCTGCAGCAGAGAAGCAGCTGCGCAGATAAAAAAGGCGGTTTAGTGCTGGGTGTGGTCAGGGGGCGTGGCCTGTCTCTCTGCATGTGATGGGTGGCTCCTGACATGGTGGCCTGCAGGCAGGGAAGCTGTTCTGAATCAGAACTTTCTCTCTGAGCCAGTCAGCCGGTAGCGGCGGCGGCATCAGGACCATGGAGGCCAGGTTCAGGAACTACTCCTCAGACAGCGCCGGCAGCGACGGGGTCTTCATAGAGGAGCCGCTCTACCATGGCATGCTGCGGGCCATGGATCACAGGAAAGGTAGAGTCCCCTCACTTGGCTGAGCTTCATGTGATTTCTGCATCGTCCTCCTTTCTTCCTTCTGCCTCAGGGTTCAAGTTACAGGAAAGGAGGAAATGTTGTCTGCTTGTTTCAGATCAGATTCAGGCTGCAGGATCCTGCAGAGGCTGATGGTCGGCTTGTTTTCTCTCTGAGCTGCAGGAAATATTTGTCATGCAGACTCTTGACTCTGTGGTGAAATGCAGAATCGGTGCGAAAGTTCCGGTTTCTGAGGTTCATCTCGTGTCTGTGTTTAGAAAGTGAGCGTGCCAGTGAGTCATGGGCGTCACGCCGACCTGAACTGGGTGTCGGCGCCACGAGTCGCTGCTCTCAGTACGGTTCCCTCTGATTACTTCTGCTTCCCAAGCCGTAATCAGAGATCAGCTGATGGAGGAGGTCTGTCTCCTGCTGTCAGGTCGCTGCGAGGCGGGAAATCCTGAAGGAGCTCTGGAGGTTTGTTGGGAAGGATTAAAGGTGTGAAAATGTGAAGCACAACAAACACAAACCCTGCAGGGATGAACGTGTTTCTGCAGGAGAATCTCTGATCGTCACTGACTGACGGCCTGAACACGATGCTCCTCCTGTGGCGTTTATTGTTTAGTGGTTCTGGGTTCTGATGCGTCCTCTGAGCAGAACCTGGAGCTTCCAGCAGGATGAAGGGTCTACTGGGAGGCTCGCTGGAAGTTTGTCTTCTCGGGTTTAATGGTACAGAGGGAACATCTTTGGGCCGTAATGGAAGAACTGCTTCTTTATTCCATTGTTTCTTTTTGGATCAGTGAAACCTTCAAGTCTGTTTAAAAATCTTCAGCTTTTCCTTTGGATTCTAGAAGCTGGAACTGATGGGAAGGTTCTGGATGATCCGACTTTAGAAACCCATAATTGTTCCTCCTCTAACAGGTGATTAAAGGGGGGGCAGGTAGAACATTTCCTCTGGTCTTGGTGTCGTAATCTTTCAAGGTCCATTCTGGGTCAGTTTCTCTGGTTTCAACCAATCAGCTGAAGCCTTCGTAGCATTTAAAGGAAAAGTATGGTCAGCGAGGAATAATCAATGCATCATTATTTATACCAAAAACAAATATGTTTGCGGTGATTTAATGAATTAAGCGTTAATCAGTAAAAAAAAAACAAAAAAAACCCCCATAAATTTTCGTTTTGATCACTGAGTCTGGGAGCGGCCATTTTAGCTCTAATATAGTAGCCCCTCCCTCCTGCCATCTTCCAGCAGTGACGTCACGGTGCGGTAAGCCTAGCGCCATTCTCCCCGCTTTCCAAGCTAAATCAATGGGAACTACTAGACACATCTGCAATCAACAACAATTATTGAAGATTTCCAGAGGACTTCACCATTGAAATTCACCAGAGCTATAGTGAAACTGACAATGCCCACGTGCATGGCAGCTGGATGCTGGAATACATCGGGTAAAAGTGAAAAAAAAAGAGTTATTCCACCTTTCTGATTCCTGATCCTCCACGGACGGGTTGGTCGTTGGATCGCCAACTTGAAGAGGGAGGATTTGCCATCGAACTTCTGGCCAGAGAAAAAACCCGTAATATGTAGCCAACATTTGGAAGAAGAATGTTTTCAAGATGACTTGGATAATAGCGCGTTGTGACAAACACCAGATACAGCACTGGGACTTGATCAACAGCCGATACCGCACCGTGACATGTCACTAACCAGTAGGTGGCAGTAGTGTTCTTTGACAAACATGGATGCCTCCAGTAAAGCACATTCACATGAAAATTACTCTGAATTAAAAACACTGATCATTTATTGAACAGGATGGAATCATTTCAGATTTAAAGAACTTTCAGAAGTTTGAATTCTGAATATGAGCGACTTTTCCTTTAAATGATTTTATTCCCACGTATGAATTTTACAGGTTTAAGTTTTATTCTGTTTTTTTACCTGTTGTTCTGAATCTAAAACTTAACAGAACCGATGATCTGTGTCTCCACAGATGAACGGGACCGGGTTCAGAAGAAGACTTTCACAAAATGGGTCAACAAGCACTTGGTGAAGGTAAGAAGAAACAGCTTTGACAACTGAATGGTTCTGCTTAAATCAGTGGAAAGAAATGTTCCTAAATGTCTCCTCCTGCTGTGTGGAAGGTTTCTAGATCTCAACCGTTAGCTTCTGATGTTTGCTTTCCTCAAACATCAGAAGGTCTTTATTCGTAGATTAACATCTCATCGGATTATTTCCTTCTCTGAGTCTCAGGTAGAAAACGGTTAAACTAATGGTTGGTGGTTCGTTAAAGACACAGCATGTAACATTTATTCTTGAGATGTTACTTTTTTTTAAATATATTTTTAACTTATTAATACTTATTCTGGTATTTTTATAAACTTTTTAAGCTCCACAGGTGTGTATCCATTTTTGCTGGAATCTCTTGCTGCTGTTACACCTCATTTTACCCATTTTGGGACAATAAAGTTATTTTTAACATATATCACCTTCACAAAGACATTCAAAAAGTAATATGCTGCACAGTGCCGAGGCATCCTTCTTCTGTTTCTGCGTAAACCAGCTGGTTGGGTTAGCGGGTCGACCTCCCCAAGATGGCGCCTGTAATTTCAGCCCTGCGACAGTCAGTGCGGGTTCTACTGTTATATGTATGTCTATGGGTACCTGGACGCGCTACCAGCTGGGGTTCAAAGGTCGTAACGATAAGTTTCCGGCTGAGCTGTGATAATCCCTCCTGACCAGCGGGAGGCGCTCTGATGCTTCTTCACTCCTGACCGAGTTCAGCAGTTTGAGAGGATGAATCTTCTGCAGCCGTGACCACAGACCCATTTAAGACCATTGACAATAGATCCATCTGAAATAACGGGAGTTTTTGTTCTTTTTGAGCAGGCGGTACGACAGACGGACCGATACGGCCCTAAATTCTCCCATTTAAAGCAGCGCTGCCTTTTCACAGGTTCTAAATGACTTTCTATAAGCTGCTTGTCTCCTGTGAGGCAAGGCCAATTTATTTGTATAGCACAATTCAGTACAAAGACAATGCAAAGTGCTTTACATGATTAAAATATAAGAAAATAAAGCGGAATCAAAGCAAGTAAGAAAATAAAAATAAAAATGCAGACTCCAACAATGACGTCTTTACCAACTTCTGTCAATCCTGTTGACTTTATAGGTCCCAGACCTATTTATTTCAAACACAATGTTGTTTTTTCAAACCACAAGATCCCTGACCTTGACACGATATGATTCCCACAAGATCCCTGATCTTGACACCACAAGATCCCTGACCTTGACACGATATGATTCACACAAGATCCCTGACCTTGACACGATATGATTCCCACAAGATCCCTGACCTTGACACCACAAGATCCCTGACCTTGACACGATATGATTCCCACAAGATCCCTGATCTTGACACGATATGATTCCCACAAGATCCCTGATCTTGACACGATATGATTCCCACAAGATCCCTGACCTTGACACCACAAGATCCCTGACCTTGACACGATATGATTCCCACAAGATCCCTGATCTTGACACGATATGATTCCCACAAGATCCCTGATCTTGACACGATATGATTCCCACAAGATCCCTGATCTTGACACGATATGATTCCCACAAGATCCCTGATCTTGGCACGATATGATTCCCACAAGATCCCTGATCTTGACACGATATGATTCCCACAAGATCCCTGATCTTGACACGATATGATTCCCACAAGATCCCTGATCTTGACACGATATGATTCCCACAAGATCCCTGATCTTGACACGATATGATTCCCACAAGATCCCTGATCTTGGCACGATATGATTCCCACAAGATCCCTGATCTTGACACGATATGATTCCCACAAGATCCCTGATCTTGACACGATATGATTCCCACAAGATCCCTGATCTTGACACGATATGATTCCCACAAGATCCCTGATCTTGACACGATATGATTCCCACAAGATTCCTGACCTTGACAGTGTAACAGCCAAAAATGCAGAAACAAAAAAGATGCCTGCAGCTCTGCAGGAGTCCTGCTTTCTGCAGAGGCTTCACATAAAAATTGTCTTCTTCTCATGAACTTTTCCAGAGCCTGAATTCTCAGATTCTTCTTCAACGAGCTGAAGCTTCACATTCTGTTATTTTCACGTCTATTTAAACCTCCATCCCTCAGCTGAACCAGAAGCATCAGCAGATAAACTCCTACTGAGGAAGACTCCAGCCGGAGAACAAAAACAGTTTTTCTCTGCCTGAGACTCGGTGAGTCACTCCCGCCTGGATCCGATTTAGGAAGAACCGCACTGAAGCGGGCCGGAACCGCTCGGGTTTCACATCTGGGATCCAGACTCGTCCAGGAGGCCGTGGAGCTCAATGTGTCTCAGGAAGGAAAACTGTTCTGTTCAAACTCCGACATTCTTTCCAGATTCTCACAGAAACGATCAAACGTCCAGTGAGTTTAATTAATGGATTAAATGAGATGAAAATCCACCATGTTGGTAGAAAAGCTCTGAATAGATTTCTTCTTCTGAACAAAAACTGTCTTTTATTTATTTCATTAAAGGAAAAGGAAACAGGATTATTTTTATTTCTCTTATTTGCCTTTTTTATACTTTTTTTTTCTTATATTTTGACCCTTTAATCTAATTGTATTTAAGCATCATATTTATAGCGTCAGTCATTGGAAGCTCATTAAGGTTGATATGATGAAAATAAGGCTTTCTATTTTTTTTTTAGTCAAATCAATCTTAATTTTTTACACCTGCAGATATTTTTCTATTGAAATCAGAGAATCGATTTTCTAACGTTCAAAAATTTTATTTTGAAAATCAGACGTCGTTGCCATGGTTACAGCTGCTGAATTATTTGAATGAAATGTTTTTTTGTGTAGATTTGATCTGTGTGGATTTTTTTCTCTTAAGTTTAATTTTATTTTTTTTAGGTGTTGCTTCAGTTTAATTTTTAGGATGACATTTATGTCGATATTTTGAAGACTTTTATTAATATAAAATATATAACATTTATTTTAGATTTTGTTTCCTCACTTTTTTTGCGTGGGGGGGGGGCCTTTTATGTCTTTAGTATTTTTTTCTTTAATGAACATTTTTAATTTTGGTGGCGGCCTAATGGTTAGGGGATTTGCACTTGGAATCTCCCCCTCTGGGTCCCTGAGCAAGACCCTTAACCTCACCCTGCTCCCACGGCGCTGCACAATGGCAGCCCACTGTTCCCCAGGGGGAGGGGTTAAATGCAGAGGAAAGTTCATTGCTTTGTTCTTATGACTGTAGAATGACAATAAAGTTGAATTCTATTCTATTTTTAATTATTTTGTACTTTTTGAGCCATAAAAAGCCAAACATGTGTGATATTATAAGCAAATATAATCAACATAATTAACAAGGTTCATTTAAACTAAATCCACCAGAAATTTAAATGAAACTATAAAATCACCTAAACAGACGGAGAGAAGAATAAAATCTAAAGTTCAGATAGAAAACTGTGGTGATTAGATGTTTGCTTCCAGAAGCTCTGAGATGTTTCAGCAGCAGAGTCACGGTTTGCAGCTCGGCGGCTGACCATCACATGCTTCCTGATTTTCTTTATCTCCACTGAAGCAGATTCAGGGTGGAAACGAACCGTGAAGCAAAGTCTGAAACTTTAGTTTCCTCCACGTTTCCATGAAGTTTTCCATCTTCTCACAGCAAACTGTTTCTTCTCTCCATCCTTCCCTCCTTCCTCCTGTCCTCCTCCATCCTTTCTCCTCAGCACTGGAAGGCAGAGGTAGGAGCCACTCATTCCTGCCTGCATGTTTTCCTCTAACCGCCCATTTTTCCTCCTTTTCTAACATCTTTAGCTGCTTTTTCTGCAGTTTCCTTCTCTTTTTTTTGCCGCTAAAGATGAGAAGCTGAACGTTTCATTAAAGCATGAATAATTTGCTTCCAGTATATTTATTTCTTCTTTTAGATGGTAGTGCTGTGATTTGATGAATGCAGCAAAACTTTCCAGATTTAAATGGTTCTGCTTCAGCATCTGTTAAAACTCTTAAAATCTCTGTTCCTGTCGGTTCAATCAGATTTCATTCGTTGCTGATTTTTGTGTTTTATTTTTTAAATTAAAATGGCTCCATCGAGTCTCTGAGTGACTAACAAAATATGGAGTGAATTTTGTTCCATTATTGTTGCAGAGAACAAGTTTTGTAAATGGAAGCCCACTGCTTCCCAAGAGGAGGGGTTAAATGCAGAGACGTCATTTCCCTCTGGGATTATTAGAATATATAAAAAAATAAATTAAAAAAAAGAATAAAATGCAATCAAAAAATAGAAACTTTGAGGTTTTCTCAGATCTTTTTTGTTTTATTCAACTTTTACTTTCAAACTTAGTTTTTTCCAAATATTTTCACATGTAATATTTTTTCACATCAAGTTTAATGAATTTCATTTCCTTCAAATTCCAGCCCGATCCAACGTCTCGCTCTTGACCAATAAAGACGTTTCTAACGTCCAGCAGACCAATAAAAATGCATCTTTTGTTCTCACTGCGGAAGAAAGCCCGCCCCCAGAAGGGATCTCGGAAACGCAATTTGAAAAGAATGTATCTGAACAATACAATGCAGAATTGGGGCCAGAATAGAGATTTTTTCCTTCTATTTCAAGAATAAAGTCGTAACATTATGAGAATAAAGTTGTATTTTCTGACTACTCTTCCCAGAATCCCTTTCTTCCCTAAAACGAGGAATGTGGAGCATCATGTGAAGTTCTACTTTAGCATCGGTTTGACAAATCAGGAGATCTTTTAGCAGCAGCATCAAAGGGCAGGATGTCAAAGTGGACTCTGGTTGCTGATTGGTGGAGCTGGTCGGCCGTCATCTGGTGGGAGGAGCTTAAAGCTTTCTTTCTGAAATGGGTTTTTGAATGATGACATCATTCTCGTAATATTAAAACTTTATTCTCGGAATAAAATTAGAAAATTTTTCTCTAGCCTGTCCCTAATACTCTCTCGTAGAAAACAAATTTTAGTTTAAAAAATAAAATATGAGAAAATCAAAAAAAATCAAAAATTTAATCTGAGAAAAATCCTTTTTCCCTTTTTGATTAAAATATGGATTAAGATGAAGTGAAGGATGTTGTTTTTCCGGTTGGATCATCTAAATAATTGGTCCTTCTAACTGTCAATCATTCTGGTGAAATGTTTACGTAAAGCCGTCCTTCGCGCTCGTTCCCATTTTCACTGACCGCTGGTGAGTCTGACATGGTGGAAAAATTTCAGATCTTCTTTTGGAAAGTGAGCTGGTATGATCGATGCAAACGGGAACTTTTAAACACGTGTGAGAGCGTGCACAAGCCTGTTTCTCCTCATGCACGCTCTGACACATGTTCAATAGGCGTTCCCTCTCAAGTGTGGGTACAGGGTTGTGCATGTGCTTTTTTTTTTTTTCTTAATGGAGTAGGCGGGTCTTTTAAAAAATTCACAAAACTCCTCCACTATACCTTTAGATCGTTCCTGGATTGCATTTTCAAACTTTTATTGTTCTTGCTACAATAATGGAACAAAATTCACTCCATATCAACGCCGACATTTCAAGAAGAGAAATCAGTTAAATGTTTTTAAAGTAAGAAAAAAATAATGTAGACAATTTAAAATCAGAAAATGAGTTTTTAATCATTTATGGTTCCATTTGGGCAGGAATCTGCAGGATCACAGGTTCTGGTTCTGTTGGAGGAGAACCTTCTCCAGACTTTTCACTCCCTCAGTCTGATCCCAACCCGCTTTCTGTCCAGAGGCGGTTCTGACCGGGACTCCATAAAAACTAGTTTAGTGGAGGGGTCAAAGGTCAGCCAGAATCATCCTCTGTGGTCCAGGGGCAGCCTGCTAACAGCTGATTGTATCTGAGTTCTACTGACGTAGATCTGATCAGAGCTTTTCTTTGTCTGCAGGCCCAGCGGCACATCACCGACCTTTACGAAGACCTCAGGGATGGACACAACCTTATCTCGCTGCTGGAGGTCCTCTCAGGAGAGACTCTGGTGAGCGTCCCGTGTCCCCCCCGTCCTGTTTGCGCTCCATCTGCCCTTCCTGTGGATTTTATTGTTAGACGTGTCTTAGACGTTACATCTGTCTCCACGTCTGCATGCGTCTTAGATGTTTCCAGACGCTGAGGCCGTGCAAACTTTAAAACACTAATTTCATTCCTGGCGTCCATCTTTTAACCGTTCTGCATTTCTCTGTCTTTGTTTGAGTTTTTCCTTTTTTCTAACTCCTGTCTGCCTACCCTGACCTCTCCCCTCTGCCTTCCTGTCTCGCGCCGTAGCTGAGGGAGCGTGACGTTGTGAGGAGCGTGCGGTTGGTGAGTGGCGCCTGGACTGCGGGCCAGTGGGGGGGGCGTGGCATGTGTCATTCCCCAGGTGGCTGCTGGGTCGTGCATGTTGGCAGTCAGCCTTCCCCGGTCATTCTCTGTCTTTGTGTTTTCACCGTCACCTTTCATGGGTTACTCAGCGCGATGATGGCGGCCTCAGAAGGCATGGTGGAGCTTCAGGGGTCCCTAAAGAGCAGAATAAGAAGATATGAGAATGTCTGAAACCAATTAATTGCTTCAGTGTCACTGATGCTGCTGTGATGCTCAGATTAAACCTTTAGCAGATAAATTCAATATATAAGATCAGATATGGAGGATATTTAGTAAAATAACGCTTAAAAAATGGCTTAAAATACACAGAAATCTACAGATTAACAAGATTATAATTGGATTAATTACAGACGGTTTTAAAATATAAGTGTTTTGTAGAATTTTCCAGTTTAATTTAATGTACTTTATTTAAAAAAAAGTAATAATAATGTTGGAAAAAATAAATAAAAGTTGGAATTTATTTCAGTAGAAAAGGGAAACTACAATTTTTTTCAATTCAGTTTATTTCTATAGCTCCAATTCACATCAAGCATGCTTGTAGCGACAGTGGAGAGGAAAAACTCCCTTTGAACAGGAAGAAACCTCCAGCAGAACCAGGCTCAGTGTGAGCGGCCATCTGCTGAGGCCCACTGGGGTTCAAGGAGACAGAAGCAGACATAGAAAAAGAAGCATAGATACAAAAGGCAACTGTCAACCAGCTCCACAGGCGGCCCCGTCCAGGAAACACACAGCCAGGCAGACGAGCTCCGAGCCAGCTCCCATGTCAGAGGATGAAGAGAGCACATCCAGTTAGTCACAGTCAGAGAAACAGGACTACACTGGAAAAAAGGCCAAGCTCCAACATCTAGAAACAAAGGTGTTGATGGCAGCAGCACAGCTGATATTTCTCTCCAGGATGGAGTCACAGCCAAACAGGAACAGACCAGATGAAGCTACTATGAGAAAAAGCAGAGAGAGCAGAACGTTAGAGATTGAACTAACAGATTCTGCAGAGTGGGAGAATAGAGATAGAATGAAGCAGAATGATGAAAAAGGGGTCCCTATGTCCTCCAGCAGTCTAAGCCTATAGCAGCAGAACTATAGAGATAGCTCAGGATAACCTGAGCCACTCTAACTAGAAGCTTTATCAAAAAGGAAAGTATCTAAAGTGACTAAAAGATCTGCCTCCCATTCTACTTTTAGAAATTCTAGGAACCACATTTTTTCCTAATGAATCAAGAAGTTATCACCTACGCTGATGACGCATTTCTTTATTTCACCAAATCAGAAAATGATCGCCTTATATAAGTCTCGCAGTAAAATTAAATCAATACTGAATAATTCAACTAGTGTTTGCTTTATGATGCCAACATTAATCTTATTCAGTTCTGCAGCATAGAAATGTAAAACTAGAGTCGTTTTAGTCCTTTTTTGTGGTTAAAGTCCAGATTTAGATTCTTTGGGAATCTGCTCCTGTTGATGCTGCTTTTTTCTGCTGAAATAGGGAAAGTTTTTATTCACCGTCTGACTAAATAAACCTGAATAAAATGCTTGTTTCACGGTGATCTGGAGAAAGACTGAGAATGTCCGTCATCCATCATCGCGCTCTCATCTGCAGACATCTTGATGCATCTCTGGTTCACGCCGTCATGCACAGCCGGGCTCTGAACCGGCGCCGGCTTTGGTCGCAGTCATACGCAGTTACACTTCCTTTCACTTGTGATGTTCCGCATCGTCCGTTCCGACTCGCCGTAGGGTAGACGTTAACGTCGATGGAAGCACCTGTTCCCCGGCATGTCCCGCCTGTCCTCATGTCCTCTGTTGTCTCTTCCAGCCGCGGGAAAAGGGACGAATGCGTTTCCACAAACTGCAGAATGTCCAGATCGCTCTGGACTTCCTCAAACACAGACAGGTCTGTAGTCTAAAGAACAATCTTCAGTAACGGTGAACTTCTGTCCGACTGAGTGATGCTTTCTGCTCCTTTTCAGGTTAAACTGGTCAACATCAGAAACGATGACATAGCGGATGGGAACCCTAAGCTGACCCTGGGCCTGATCTGGACCATCATCCTTCATTTCCAGGTAATCTGATGAGGAGGCTCCTAATCTGCAGGATCGTTCTGCAGACGCAGGAAGGGAAAGTTATTATTTATGCTTCAGACTCGTTTCTTTTTACTCAAACTGAAACGTGTTCATTCTTCTCTGCAAATGAAGCTTTTCAGTCAACAGTCAGAAACTTTTTCCTCCTATTTGTCCCTCAGTCACTCCAGCAGAATCAGGCAGCAAGTTTGATCCATTTCCAGATGTTCAGTTTCTACAAACATTTGTCTTTGTTTTATTTCATGTTTTGATTTTATTAAAGCAACGTCATGTTTTATTGCCAGTGGCGCCAGCAGTAAGACATTGGCTTCCAACCTTATGCTACGTTCAGAACGCACGCGGCAGGAGCAGCAAAACGCGCGTGCTGCTTCATTTTTGATGCTTTTACAGTTTAGTTCTGAAGCACGGCTGAAGCATCTTTGCTGCGCTGTCACTGGGAATCCCCAGCAGCAGCTGCCTCAGGCCCGCTCGCCTCTTGGGGGTTTTCCCCTCCTGTTGGTGGCGGCTGGAAGTAGATGTTAGCGTTTTTCAGGTCTGTGCTACAAACTGCAGGCAGCAGGATAATAAAAGCCAACATATTCATTTGAAGTTAATTTAGGCGTTAATAAACTTTTCAGAGGAGTGATCATAACGCTCTGCATCACTTTCTCACCGCCTCGGCAGAATGATGAAAAAGGGGTCCCTATGTCCTCCAGCAGTCTAAGCCTATAGCAGCAGAACTATAGAGTTAGCTCAGGATAACCTGAGCCACTCTAACTAGAAGCTTTATCAAAAAGGAAAGTTTTAAGCCTAGCCTTAAAAGTAGACAGGGTGTCTGCCTCACGGACTAAAACTGGTAGTTGGTTCCACAGGAGAGGAGCCTGAGAACTAAAATTCAAAGTTTTCTATCTAAGGAAAACCAGCTGATTGCATCGACTCATTGACTCTTCAGCAATCCCTCACACTAAGCATGCTTGTAGCGACAGTGGAGAGGAAAAACTCCCTTTGAACAGGAAGAAACCTCCAGCAGAACCAGGCTCAGTGTGAGCGGCCATCTGCTGAGGCCCACTGGGGTTCAAGGAGACAGAAGCAGACATAGAAAAAGAAGCATAGATACAAAAGGAACAACCAGCAGCTTCTAAACTGCTGGTTGAGCTGAAATCTTTTTCCTACGTTTTCCTTTCGGCTCATGGGAGCATTAAATCCCGGACTCCTACCATGGAGGAAGACTTGTTTGTGGTTCTGTAGGAGTTCCACCCAACAGCGGCTCCTTGCTACCAATTAGAAACAGGACGGAGTCGGTAGCAGCCGGTTTGGGTGTCCTAACCGCGGAAAGGGGCGGTGACGGAGAGGCTTTGATGATTTAGGAGGATGATGGTTCTGTTGGGACGTTTGCAGGATTCTGTTCCCCATTCCTGCAGAGATTCCCACGAGGAGACGTGGCGTGACCCAAAGAGTCGATCGAGGGTTTTAAAAACCACCGAGACACAGCTGACATTTTCAGGGAAACAACCAGGAACAATGGGGCCTTCCTCTGAGCTGCCCGACCGGCTGCCTGGTAATAAAAGCCATGGATCTGCTGTAGGGAAGTGGATCTACGGAGGCTGCGCTGCGGGGGTGGAGGATGTGTTTCCGTTCAGGGCCTGAGTCACTCTGCCCACCGCGGCTCTGGGGGTTTCCTTCTGAAGGAAAAAATGCCTCGTCTCCTCCACCCTTCCTGTTTTTAAAAACATGAAATGATCAGTTCTGCTCTGACTCATCAAACCCCTGAAAAAGGAAAGCATGAAACAGGCTGAAGGAGCGTGAGGCGTGACTGAGCGGCTGCAGGAGGGGAGCCATCCGCCCTGCAGGGAATAATCCCAGAGCGAGGCTTTTCTCCAAAATAATCCCAAACACAGAAAGTTAGCCTTTCTGCAGCAGCAGAGAAAAAAGCAAAACCTTATTTCAACGATGATCAATTAATCCAGATTAGCTGATAAAATAATCTATCACAGAGGGCAGAGCTCCAGAACAGATTTTAGCCCATTTCAGCCTCATTAATGAACTTTAACAAGTGTTTTTTTTGTTTTTCTGCAGTGAGTAATCCAATATTCCTGCGGGATTTTTTTTATCCTTGGCATGACTCAGAGTTTTAATAAAACTTTCCAGCTTCCCAGTCCAGCGTTTGTTCCTGGCTGCATGGGAACACATTAAAAAGCCTTAGTTTGGGAAATCAGACCCACTTTCTCACACCGAAAGGCTCCGTTTGGTTCGTTTTATGGCTCCAAAGCATTTTCAGCCGAGTTTTATGGATGTCATGAGCTCTGCAACGAGAAGATAGAAACTTTGGATGAGATCAGCAACAGGAAAGGGTTGAAAAAAGGATGAAAAGACGGAACCAAGAACAAGACGTCAATTTAAAGAAGCAGATTTGATGCTTTCAGCAAAACAATTAGTTTAGAAATAAGTCCTGATTTTCTTCACTTTTCTAATAAACTGGAATCTTCTCATTAAATATATTTTTTTGTTATTTTATTTTTATTTTAATTAAACATAAGAAACAAACATAGACGTCATGTAATACTTTAACTTTTACCTTTAAACTATTTGGAGAGATGCAGGATAGAATCGGCCCCCTATCGGTATCGGCCTGAAAACTGAATATCGGACATCGGCCCCCCCACCGATATTTAACCCGATATTTGATCAGCTTCTGAGTTTCTAAAGTCTAAAACAAAAACAAAAATACTACTTCTACTTCTTCCTCCAAAACTTCTTTTTTACAGACTTAAAAACTTCTAAAGATGAGGGAAAAAATATTGATCCATTAAAATATCCCAATATCTTCATATGCTGATATATTGCCATTTAAAAACACCATATCAATCTCTTTTACTAATGAAATATTGCTATATGTCATCGTTATGCTACGAAATCCCCCGAAAATTCACTAAATGTTGCCATATTTTTATATGTTGATATATTGACGCGGTATCGATCTATTTTACTAACAAAATCTCACAAGAATTTGCAAAATATCATGAGAGTTTGTAACAGAACGATGAAATTTCACCAGATTTTGAAAGTAAAATAGATCAATACCGCGTTTTTAAAAAATCTATTTAATATCAGCATATGAAAATATATTTGAGTATATTATTTTTCAAAGTGTCAGAAATGGATAACAAAACTGTTATTTTCAATGACTACTTATTTTTGTCCAGCTTTAACATCGGTATCGATATCGGTTATCGGCTACATGAGTTTTAAAATATCGGCATATCGGATATCGGCCAAAATCCCGATATAGTGCATCTCTACTATTTTGTGATTGTTTTTCTCACATTTAGCCTTTCTGTGCTAAATGTGAGAAAAACAATCACTGAAGACGTACGACTTTTTACCCTTTTAGGGCTGATTTTCCAGTAATGCGATCATTTTCCGATAGTTCCGACTTTCAGCCTGATGGTGCATGGTGTAGTGACCAGGGGGTAACGAGGGGCGATCAGCCTCTAACGACCACCCCCCCCCATCAGGAATCGTAGGTCGGGAGAAAATGAAACATGTTTGAAATTCAGTCGGCCGTCGTAAGGTGGTCATTGACAAATCGCTCACAGACGAAAACCCAGCAGCATGGCGGGGGGGCAATGAGTGAAATGGAGTTCTTTCTGTCAAACTGACAGACCGTAGTAGCCACGTTAGCTCAGCCATGTCTTTGTCCAAATACGTCGTCTCCTTTTCTCTTTAGGGCTTTCAGCACTAAATCCTCCAAATATCCAAGGCAGCGCGTTTCACTCTAGTGAGCTTCATGTTCCTCTTCTACTGGTTTGGCTTCCAGATAGACGAGTCCCAGTAGCGCCATCTCACTGCGGAGGCGAGTCCCACCTGGTTTTAGACGTAGAGTGTGAGCAGGTAGATCGCATCAGAGCGTTGCACAGTGTGAGAATACTGTTAGCTGTGAACTTAAATTTCCTCGTACAGTTTTAGCTGTAGCTACGTGCGACTATTGAAAAAATTGCTAGTGCCTTTTGTATCTATGCTTCTTTTTCTATGTCTGCTTCTGTCTCCTTGAACCCCAGTGGGCCTCAGCAGATGGCCGCTCACACTGAGCCTGGTTCTGCTGGAGGTTTCTTCCTGTTCAAAGGGAGTTTTTCCTCTCCACTGTCGCTACAAGCATGCTTAGTGTGAGGGATTGCTGAAGAGTCAATGAGTCGATGCAATCAGCTGGTTTTCCTTAGATAGAAAACTTTGAATCAATCTGACTGGATGATCTGGTTGTATTGTATCTATAAAGTGACCTGAGATGACGTGTTTTTAGCGGAGCGGAAGAAATATGGCGGAGCGCAGAGCGGATTTGGCTCCGCCCCAGTTCGCTCCGACCTTATTTAACTTCATGTTTGACTTAAACCCTAGGCCAATACCTATGCTGTAATCTGTGCCTATAATCTGTCATACTCTATGTTTTAACTTTACCGGGGAATCGTAGTGACGAGGATTGCATATTTGGTGATAAAAAGGGGGATAAGATATCATAAAAACATTCAATAGCTATACTTAATATAGAGTGGGTTTATATAAAGTGATTGTTGTGGTTAGAGCCTGTTTATGAAAATGGATGTCATACATGCATTATACGCATTATCTCATCTGCAATGAGATGCAAAGTGACCTTTTTTAATGAGCGGACTTCCTCCTGAACTGGGAGCGGGAATTTCGCGGCGCTCCGTTTACATCCTCTGGTTGTGAATTGGCACTATAGAACTAAACTGAATAGAATTGAACAGTGAAGGACGATGAAGCTCATTGCTGCTGTCGCCCTGCAGATCTCAGACATCCAGGTCAACGGTCAGTCGGACAACATGACGGCCAAAGAGAAGCTGCTGCTCTGGTCCCAGCGGATGGTGGAGGGCTACCAGGGTCTGCGCTGCGACAACTTCACCACCAGCTGGAGGGACGGCAGGCTCTTCAACGCCATCCTTCACAAACACAGGTGAGTCTGCAGAAACCGGAGCAGCAACTTCCCAGAACTTGCCTGGACTCGGCTCTGCGGGGAGAACCGCGGGGCCTGAAATCCTCACCCGGTCCTCTCCGTCACCCTCTGCATATTTCACATCAGCTGGCTGCTTTCTTTCTTTCCAGTATTTACTGCTCCGGTTTGGAGGCTGGAATCTTTTCTGCTTTTTTTTCCGGTTCTGACTTGTTGGGACAGAAAATCCGACATGAAGATGGACGTCTATCAGATGCTGCTATGTTCAACCTAGTTTCTCATTCATGACAGAAAATGTTCAGTTTAAGAGCAGATCTGCGACCTCTGAGGTGGATCAGATCCCTAATTAGATCGATTTGTTTGGAAAGCTTCTCATCCATGCTAGAGGAGCCTGATTTGGGAAAGAAATGTTCAAAAGAAGCTGCAATAAAAGCAGAGTTTGTAACGATAGTTTCTGATCGCTCATCTTTCCTGAAACCATCAGGCTGAGCCTTGTTAGCTCGTTCTGCTAACGGGATGCAGGGAAAACATCTTCCTGCTGCAGGTAAGATAGTTACCGCTAAGAACTGCTCAGCAGAACCAAATTAAAACCAATCCGAACTTTTCTGTTCTGATTAGGGGAGCAAAACATGCGGTAATAAACGCTTAATTTAATATCAGGTGGCTAAAATATTAGATTTTCCTCTCATAACTTTGGCAAATAAGGATCAAATGTAACCAAAGAGTTTGTTGATGAAGAGAGAAATAAACACAGTTAAAGACTTGCAGGTGAATTAATTTCTTCCCATTGAGGGTGAACTGTTATGTGTGATAGCATGTAGTAAATTAGAAACGTCTTTAATCCGGTAATCTGTCATATTTTAAATTAAAATTTAAATCTTCACCCTCTGGGCCCCCGATCTCCTAGAATCCTGGATACGCCCCTGCTCCTCACTATGATCTAAATGAGCGTCCTGATTGGTCGAAGGTCCGAAAAGAAGCAAACTTTGAAATATAAAAAACTCCCGTTTATTTTGTGAACTGAGTGTTTTTCACCTTTAATTTAAGCTTTTAAGATAATTTTCCAACAGAAATGAAATGATTATATTTCCCATTGGGATCAGTAAAATATTTTTAACTGAATTAAACTGAATAAATTAAGTAAAACAACTTTATGATCTTATTTTAAACCCAGATAATCACCTTAGAGGCATAAATCTTATTTATCTGCTCCAATTAATTGAAAATAAACTTCTTTTAATCGTTTTTTTTACTTATTTTTAGATCCGTTTTTGCATCAAAACAGCAAATTATGAGATTTTCAGCCCATGTTTAATGTAATGTAGAAATAGGCAGAGTAGATAGGCCCCTACAGCTCCATCCCATTTCCACAGATACCTGATCTTGAATTTTCTCCCATCTAATTATGGGATCTACTAGAAAGTTATGGAGGAAAACCTGCAGCTGCTTCTTATTTCTGGGTTTCTGTCACTCGTTTTTACATTTTAGTGGAAAACGGATTCCATCAATATGTTTTTCTAATCACTCATCCTCACCGTTCATCCTAAACAAAAAGACTGTTGCCATAGTAACACTGATGCTCCAATGTGGTTGGTCCTCCAGGCTCGTCAGGATGCCGCGTCGATCCATAGAGTCGCAGAATCCAAACGTCCGTTTATCTCCACTATCGACACGATGATCACAGAACTGCTTCAGCAAACCTAGAGTCGATACCCGTTTATCCCTTTAGTTTTATACGAAAAATAAACTTTAAACTTCCTAAACAGGCATGTATCCCTTTAGTCAAGTACAAAAAAACTATTTCATAACTTAGTTATTGGTGTTTTTTGAAGCTTATGCAATCTGACCTTAAATAAAAAAAATTTTGTACCTGACTAAAGGGAAACACGCCTGTTTAGGTAGTTTAAAGTTTGTTTTTTGTCCAAAACTAAAAGGATAAATGCAAATCTGACGTCTTGTGCATGCGTGTTGACTATAGGCGGAGATCGCAAAAGTACTCACTTTCCGTACTTGAGTAAAAGTACAGATACTTGTGTTAAAAAATACTCTGGTAAAAGTGGAAGTACTGATTAAACTTCTTTACTAAAGTAAAAGTAACAAAGTACAGGCTTGTAAATTTACTTAAAGTATAAAAGTAAAAGTAGAAACCACTTTTTTCATGCCGTTGCCTACATTTTAAATGGATGTCTGCCAATAGGACTAGATCTCCGTTGTGTTCATTTTCAATCATCTCGTCGTCCATGCTACTATGCTAACGCCACCGCCACCAAGCTGCAATGATTTGCCGCGAATGAATACCGCCGAATCTGTCGATTCATCTTGTAGTGGTGCGTCAAATGCAACGTAGATTCCCATCCAGTTAGATTGAATTTGGTATTGATGACGTGAAAAATAATAACGGTAACTCCATTGAAATGATTCAAAACTAAAGTAACGAGCCAATTTTTTAAAATGTAAGGAGTAGAAAGTACAGATATTTGTGTAAAAATGTAAGGAGTAGAAGTAAAAAGTCGCCATAAAAATAAGTAGTAAAGTAAAAATATCAGAAAAATCTACTTGAGTACAGTAACAAAGTATTTGTACTTCGTTACTTACCATCTCTGGCTACAGGTCTGCTAATCTGAACACTGTGTCGCTCTCGGTGGCAGATTAAGGTGCATATTTCAACACTTTGCTCTTGGATTAATAAAAAGTGTTAAATCATCTCTAGTTTACGGATCTAGACGTCGATGGTCTCCATCTGACAGTAGTTTAACTGTTAACCTTCAGATTAAAGGGATCATAAATCTGCTGTTCTTCTTTTCTGTTGGCAGCTTCTTAATCTGGATTATTTTGCCAAACAGCTTTTCCTCATCAGGATTAGTTTTTTTTTTTATTGCGTCACAAAAAATAAAACAAATAAAACAGGCTGCAAACCAGACCCCCCCCTGACACACACACACACCCATGTTGTGTCACAATATCCTTGTGGGGACCTTCCATTGATTCCACTAATGTACATGGCCTAACCGTGACCCTTGCCCTAACCCTAACCATTACCGACACATACGTACCTATCCCTAAACCTAACCTAAACTCAATTCACACCTTAGTCCTAAACCTAACCCCCACCCCAAGAAGAGAAACTTTCCTTATGGGGACCAGTTGTTGGTCCCCATAAGTACCTATGAGTCCCCAAAATGTAGCATATTCCTAGGAAATTGTCCCCACCAGGTATTAAAGACATGGCCACACATACACACACACACACACAGAACATTCTGGATTAACAGTTCCTCCCTCCAATTAAAGGTATTTCTATCCGAGTTCTAGGAAACGGCTCTATGTTATCTGACAGAAAACCCTGCAGGAAGGTAGAGATGCAGTCAGCAGGAGCTTCTGACTCCAATAGTTCAGGAAATAGTTTAATATGACTTTACATTTTCACTGGAGCCATAGTGGTGTGTCTGCTGAAATCAGGGCTTCAGTCGGGTCCCTCTATCCCCCAGACATGGAGGGAATCGCCATAGTAACCAGAGTCACTCAGCAGCTTTTTATCTCCTATTTAGTTCTCTGAGCGGCTCTGAGTCGTCAGTGAAGGTGTGTATCAGGAGGAACCTGCAGCTGAAGAGCAGAAGGTGTTACCCTACAGGTATGCTCACTGCAGGCTCTGCAGGTCGCAGCATAGCAGCTCTCAGATCGATTCAGTCTGGGTGCAGGAGCAGGAGGAGGTGCAGCGAGGAGCCGCCGCGGCTTCAACGCCGCTTTAGGATTTTTCCCTTTTTCCAAACGGAGTTGAGGAGATGCTGAAGCTGAGGAGACGGTTTCATCCCAAGAGGCGCCTGCGCAGCACCTCCAGCAGCACCGCGGGCTCCGTCAGCGACCTGGAGGACCGGGTGATCATGACCTGCGAAGACGTACCAGATGAGAGCTCCTTCAGTTCCAGCTGGGGCCCCAGGGACGGGTCCAGCCAGGGGTCCCAGAGGACGGCCCTGGAAGCTGCTCTGATCCACCTGTCCTCCGGGGACCAGCAGGACGTCGTTGACGTGTAGGGACCCCGGGAATGTGGGGACCAGGGAGAGTTTAGTCCACGTCTGCAGAGCGGCGGACGGGACACGTTTAGACGCTTCCCGCTTGTTCCTGCATGTTACTTCTGTCTGCTTATTCCTGCATGATATGAATTCATTTCCACGTCCTCGCTTGTTGCTACGTGTCCGTGCTGGAATCAGGACAGGCGTAAAAAAAGCCGCCCGTGGCGACGTTAAGATGCTCAGAATAACCTGTGAACAGATCTGCGGTTAGTCAAGATCATTAGAGACAATGTTACTGACGTTCTCCTGCTCTTCCTAAAAACCAAAACATTTCCTCCTGGTTTTAATCACCTGAAATCTGCTGCTGAAGATTCTCAGTCATCCAGGTCATAATCATTCCTAAAAAGTCAAAATCAATCCTCTGGACTTTGTTTCCAAGTTTGAAGACGTTGAAGATTTTTCAATTCAAAATGTCAGAAATAGCGTTTAGTTCCAGGTTTTATCCAGCAGCCCAGCAAAGCCTGGTTTTAGTTTAGAAAACATGCAGATAGATACGGATGAACGGGTCCCCCCCTTTGGAATGGGGGTCGTTTGGCTTCTTTGTTAGCCTGCAATGCCCCATACCTGTCTGTGTCTCTGAAAGGGGGGTTGTTAAAGGGAAGGTGAGGTCTTCTGCTCTCCTGTAAAGGGGCTGGATTCACCTGAAATCTGGGCTTTTATTTAGATCTGAGAGCGTTTCCTCTGCTTGATGCTGGGATGCTGTTGTTTTAACAGCAGCAGGTCGATCGTCTCATTTGCCGTCATCTGGATGCGGGTTTACTATTCGGCAAAACCAGGCAGCTGCCTAGGGCCCTAAGTTCCTGGGGGCTAGAGACTGACATTTTTTCGGGAATCCCACGGGTCACGGGATTCCCGTGGGATTCCCGTGGGATGGGAGTCAGTATTAGTAACGATCTCGTGATTGGGACGGTACAGGATTAAACATTAACGGGAGCAAACCAATAGTAACTAAAAAAAAACTAGGATCGATGCCAAAAAATAAAATAAAATAGAAAGAAAAAAATCCAGTACTGGCGCCGCCATTTTGTAGTTTTTTTCCTTGAAGCCTACACTATAATGCGAGTCAAAAAAAAACTACACGACCCAAAAACCAACAGTGCTTCCGCTCTGAGTTTTTCACCCGTGGGTGTGAAGCAGCAGCGGGAGTCATTTCACCAGGAGTGGGACGGGACAGGATTTAGATTTCTACTCTGGCCCCGGATCGGGACGGGACACCATTTTTTTCTGTGGGAGTGGGACGGGACAGGAGTGAAAATCCACTCCCGTGTCAGTCTCTACTGGGGGCCCCATAAAACTCTTGTTTCCATGTACTATTCCTTATATCTGTCTGTTCTATGAGTCGTCTTCTCCATTCAGAGGGCCCCCTGCCTGTCTTTGCCTAGGGCCCCACATTTCCTCAATCCACCCCTGATCCTGAGGAGACAAAGAGCTGCTCCTCGTCCACAAACAGGATTTTTAGCAGAAAAATAAGATCGATGTTAAAAGTACAAATTTTCCAGCCGTTAAAAATGGCCCAAAGCGTCATAAAAAACACTGAATAATAAAAATAATTATGGCATTTTTGTTCTGTTAAAGGTCAACCCGAGTCTTTGCCTAGGGCCCCAAATGTCCTTAATCCGCCCCTGTCTGGGTGTTCGGTGACGGTTCTGGTTCTATCGGACCTCAGAGCAGCAACAGACGTGGCCGATCATTTTATCAGAGTGACTTTAAACCGGGTTGACCTCTCCGGTCCAGAAAGGGAACGGTTTAGATGGTCCTGAAGGACGGAGGCTGTTTGAGGACCGAATGTCTCAGCAGGTCTTCCTGAACAGCCGATCAGCTCAGTTCTTATTGTTCTTCTGAAACATGCTTTATAGATAAAGTTGGTTTGCTTTAGGTGTCCGTGGTGTTTTAATCTGTGAACCAGTGTAACGCCTCCCTGTCTGCAGGCCCGGTCTGGTGGACATGAATCTGGTGTACCGGCAGACCAACCAGGAGAACCTGGAGCAGGCCTTCAGCGTGGCGGAGCGAGAGCTGGGCGTCACCAGGCTGCTGGATCCAGAAGGTCAGCAGAAGTTTGGGTCCGCTTTGGCCCCCGACCCACAACCACTGATCTATATTTATTCACTGAATTACTGAATGCCCGCTCCTAGTACAGGTTTTAGGTGAAGCCACCGGCCGCCATATTGGTACTCCCTAGTTAGACCTGTTGGAATGTAAACAATCTGTGAACTACAGCATTGAACATTGATGATGTTCTCATTTTCAGGGAGACTTTAGACTTTAAAATAAAGATAAATTCATCACTTTGACACAGACTGGCTGTTTCACAGCATCAGTAGATTAACTTTAACTTAGAATAAAAAAATAGACTCATTCAATTCTATTCAGTTTATTTCTATAGCTCCAATCCACATCATGTCATCTCAGGTCACTTTATAGATCCAGATCAACCAGATCATCCAGTCAGATTGATTCAAAGTTTTCTATCTAAGGAAAACCAGCTGATTGCATTGACTCATCGACTCTTCAGCAATCCCTCACACTAAGCATGCTTGTAGCGACAGTGGAGAGGAAAAACTCCCTTTGAACAGGAAGAAACCTCCAGCAGAACCAGGCTCAGTGTGAGCGGCCATCTGCTGAGGCCCACTGGGGTTCAAGGAGACAGAAGCAGACATAGAAAAAGAAGCATAGATACAAAAGGCAACCGTCAACCAGCTCCACAGGCGGCCCCGTCCAGGAAACACACAGCCAGGCAGACGAGCTCCAAGGCAGCTCCCATGTCAGAGGACGAAGAGAGCACATCCAGTTAGTCACAGTCAGAGAAACAGGACTACACTGGAAAACAGGCCAAGCTCCAACATCTAGAAACAAAGGTGTTGTTAAAATAAAGATAAATTCATCACTTTGACAGACGCTGGCTGTTTCATAGCATCAGTAGATTAACTGTTTGAGTTGCTTTTTTCCGTTAATATAACCTGCAATATATTTCAGCTCATGAATTTTTCAAATGAGAAAAACATCAAACGCTATAAAAACTACAACATCATCAATTTAATAAAGAATCACTACATAAACTTTTCAGTGAATTACTTTCTATTTCCTCTACTTTCTATTTTCTATGTCAGTGTCTAACTCAGTCAATGTCTTCCAGTCAGTCTCAGATAGCCAGACTAATGTTAGTCTGCAGACTAATGTTAGTCTGCAGACTAAACTATAGGATCCATCGGCTATAGATGGATTTATTCTGACTGGGAAATGACCAGTGGAACGTCTTCCTGCAGACAGAAAACTGCTGGTTTTAGCAGCTAAATGCTGCACAGGGAGGCATTTTAATGCACGTCTCTGTGGGAGTGGGGAGTACCAATATGGCGGCCGGTGGCTTCACTTTTTGTGAATAAATAGAGAGCAGAACATGCAGCAAACATGAACCGATTCACTTCCGTTCGGATTCTCACCGCTTCCATGTTTCTGTCCAGATGTGGACGTTCCCCATCCGGACGAGAAGTCCATCATCACCTACGTCTCCTCACTGTACGACGCCATGCCCAGGGTGCCGGACATCCAGGACGGGATAAGAGCCAATGTGAGTTCACAACTCACCAGTGGGCTAAATTTTTTTATTTTAATAACACTTGCATATTTCAAAATGATAACACCTAAAAAAAACCTTCAAAAATAAGTTTATCCTGAAGGAGGATCAAAGCCTCATTAACCATCACTCGTCTTTGATCTAACAGACAGAAAATGGACGCTAATGGCGTCTTCTCTGTCATATTTTTGTATTTTCCGTTCTGACGTCGTCACTGTGACCTTCTGCGGTTCAGGAGCTGGAGCTGCGCTGGCAGGAGTACTACGAGGTGGTCAGCATGCTGCTCCAGTGGATCAGACACCACATCCTGGTCTTCGAGGAGAGGAAGTTCCCCAACAGCTACGAGGAGGTCGAGGTGCCTGGAGCTTCAGCCGTAATGCAGACGCCGCAGAGGAGCCGTCGCTGACCCCGCCTCTCTGTGCTCTCGCCCTCAGGTTCTCTGGCGTCAGTTCCTGAAGTTTAAGGAAACCGAGCTTCCGGCCAAAGAGGCCGACAAGAATCGCTCCAAACACATCTTCCAGTCGTTTGAGGTGAGCCTCCCTGCGTTAGATTCGCAGAGCGGCCGGGAGCCGGACTCACGCAGATCTCCCTCCGCAGGGCGCCGTCCAGGCCGGGCAGGTCAAGGTGCCTCCTGGTTACCATCCGTTTGACGTGGAGAAGGAGTGGGGGCGGCTGCACGTGGCCATCCTGGAGCGAGAGCGCCTCCTTCGGATCGAGTTTGAGAGGTGAGGGGACTGAGCTCATCACATGATCGGTTACCAAGCAGAAAACCGCAGCGTTCCAGTGGGACCATGACTCATCGGCTGATGATGCCGTCCGCTCACATCAAAAGCTGTTTGTTTTGTTAGGCAGGAAGTGAAAAATCGAATAAAAAAAAAAAAACTCATGACAGCCGTTTAATCGCCATGGAGACGGCACTCACAAACTGGCTCATAACCCCCCATCACATGGCAGTCAGGGCGTAGCTCCCAGCCGTGTGGCTTCAGCTGCTAACTAGGCTGAGCTGCAGTTTAGATCCACGCCATGGCGTTCCTTCATCAGGGCTACCTTTACGTGTTCCACAGGAGGACGGAGTGAGTGCCGCCGCCTTTCCTCTCTCCTCATCTGATGCCTCCTGACCTCTTCTCCTCGTTGCAGGTTGGAGCGACTTCAGAGGATCGTCAGTAAGGTCCAGATGGAGTCGGGGGTGTGCGAGGAGCAGCTCAACCAGGTGGAGACGCTGCTGCAGACGGTGAGAATCCTCCGCATCACCGTCCTCCTTTAGAACGCAACCTTCCCTCCTCAGCAGAAAGCCCTGCTGCTGCTGCAGTGCCTCGTCTGAACTCTAGGGGGCAGCAGAACGTAACCTGAGAGGAAGCTTCAAATAAAAACTGGAGGCAGAAATTATTTTCTTTTAAATTAAAACCAAAAAAACAAGAGCCTGGATGATTTTTGTTTAAAAATTCAAAATATATAGATTTTTTTTTTCTTATTTTCAGTGAAAAAAGGATATGGAAAAATTGAAAATGATTTAATTTTCATTCTCTATTTTAAAAAGGAAAACTAGATTAACTTTAAAATGAAAAATGTTTATATTCTGAGACGGGAAGCAATCACTGGGCAGAATTACAATAATTTAGTTTAGAGAAGAAACAAACACTTAAAATAAAAAAATAACAAAAAAGAAACATGGCAGCCGAATGAATCGTGGTCATGAAAAATAATCCACGAGGAAACTGAACACCAAAGTTTTTAGTTTCAAATTTACAACATTTTACAACATTTTAAATTTTTAAATTAGAAAATTTAAACAAACTTTTTATTAATTTTTATAGAAAAATCTCCTTTTGCTGAGAAAGTGAAGAACTGGCCTCGTTTGGTCCATTTAAAATCCCAACAGAGTGAAAATATCATCACATGTGACTCGATCCAGGCTCATTATGTGAGAAATCATCCTTTTATAGATGATTTTTGTCGTCAGAAATAGAAAATAAAACAAAAACATTTTAAAAAATCACTCTTTTATTGCTGAAACTAAAGAAAAGTTTTGTATTTGGATTCTAAACAAAACAATCTGTGTGTCATTCATTCATTAATTTAAAGCCAATGATAAAAAAATGAGAATTTATTTTCCCAGAAGTTTAAAATAGAAAAACAAAGAAAAGTTCTTGTTTAAATTAACATTTAAATACTATTTTACATAAGAAAAAATCAGATATCCAGCACATGACATTACTGCGCAGCTTTAATATATTTATTGCCCAAACAGGGGTGGTAAACATCTTATTTAATTCAGACTGTCATCTATTGCTGATGAACATGCGCCCCCTACTGGCTGTGTGTTAGAACAACAGATAAAAGTGAATGGAGCTCATATCATGGTTGAATAGATAATTCTGCACATATATGGAATAAATTAAAAACAAACGAGTTTATTAACAGAAATCTATCAGCTCCAAGTCAAACATATTTCATTTCATTTTTTCAATTTTATTTCTTTTTATTTAAAAACTAAAAACTAGTAAAACTCAACTAAACTACTAAGTAGAAAAAAGATGGTTGAAAACCAGACAATGCAATCACATCACACTTTAGGATGGATTTAATGTTTGAGAATGTTTCAGTAGTAATTCTTAATTAAGTCATTTTTGTAGCGTTTGTTCTATTTCTCATTAGAAAAATCAATAAGCTGAAATATATTACATGTTATATCAGGGTTCTAACGGGTCATTAAAAATCATTCAAGTATTATTTTTTAAATTAAGCCCTTAATTGGCATTAAAATCATTAAATACATTCATAAAACAATTTCATCAGATATATAATATATAACTGGTTAAAGTCCGGTTGATCGTGGAGCGGTATGTTCGGAAAAGAAGCTCGAGGAGGAGAAGAAGCTAAAGAAGTGGCTGGAAAACGAGGAATGTGTGTATATATATATATATACATATATTTTACACAGGAATGAGTAATTTTAATTTTTATTAGTCTTTTATGGTCTTTTAATGCTCCTAGAAAGAAGTTTATATATATATATATATATATATATATATATATAGATATATATATAATCAGAATCAGGTTTATTGCCATTGTTAGTGAAGGAGTTCACAAACTAGGAATTTTTTATGGTACAATCGTGCAACATGAAACATATAATATGGAATAGGTAAATAAAATAATCAAAATATCTAAAAACACTGTGAGTATAAGGCATGCAAAAAATAGACAAATATATACACTTAGGATAAAAATATGGATAACAAATATAAAAAGTAAAATAGCATCTTACAAGGTAGTGCAAATAGAGCAGATACATATATATGTATATATATATATATATATATATATATATATATATATATATATATATATATATATATATATCAGATATGTAAGATATAATTACCAAAACAATGTAATAAATCCATGTATATCACATGTACATCATCAATTTAGCACTTTTGGCTCATCTGTACTATTCACATGTGATGTGATGTCATGTGATGATCTGTGAGAGTTTAAACAGCAGGATCAGTGTTTTCTGCTTTAGGGATCCTGATTGGAGGAGTTCTGATCAATGAATCGAGCCACATTCAGCATATTTTTAATTTATTTAGACGCTGATGTTTTTTTGTTTTTTTTAACCTTTAGACCAAAGCCTATCCCAAACCTTTCAGCATGTTTGTTTTCTGTCAGAGGTGTCCTTTCCACAGCCTTAGAAACATGCATGTTGGTTGATTATGAGTCTGGAGGATCTTCCTGTTTCCTGCAGGATGTGAGGATGATGAGCGCCGGCAAACCTGCTCAGCACACGGCAGAGGTGGAGGCCGACCTGGAGAAAGCAGAGGGAATGATCCGCTTCCTCTTCGATGACGTTCAGCGGCTGAAAGATGGACGCCACCTGCAGGCGGAACAGATGTACCGCAGGTAGAGAACGACGCTAATTATCACAGGACTTTCAAAGTTCTTATGGACCGGAAAACGAGCCGCCAGCCGATGTTTTTAAGTGGCTGGATGGAGAATTTCTTTTATTTGTTCCAACATTTATCTTTATTTCTCTTCCTTTAGAGTTTATCGTCTCCATGAGAGACTCGTAAACGTCCGCAGTGAATATAACCTGCGGCTGAAGTCGGGTGTGACCACCTCCCAGATCCCCATCACCCAGATCCCCATCACCCAGATCCCCATCACCCAGATCCCCATCACCCGGGTATCCATGACCCCCGGCCTGAAGGAGTCCTCCAGCAGGCGACCAGAGCTGGATGAGGTCACCCTGCGCTACGTCCATGACCTGCTGGGCTGGGTGGAGGAGAACCAGCGGCGCGTGGATGAAGGCGAGTGGGGCTCCGACCTGCCCAACGTGGAGGCGCAGCTGGGCAGCCACCGCGGCCTGCACCAGTCCGTGGAGGAGTTCCGCTCCAAGATCGAACGGGCGAAGGCCGATGAGGTAGGATGAACAGCAAACACCTTCCTCAGAGTGAGAGGAAGCGAGGCTGAATCTTGTTTCTGATGTTCTCCAGAGTCAGATTTCTCCCGCCAGTAAAGCTGCGTACCGGGATTATCTGGGGAAACTGGAGCTGCAGTACGGAAAGCTGCTGGTGAGTAACGGAGCGAACGCTTCCCGGGGAACTGTCCGAGAGAAATAAGGGTTTGGTTTCTCTGCAGAACGCCTCAAAGGCTCGTCTGCGCTTCCTGGCGGAGCTGCACGCCTTCGTCAGCGCCGCCACCAAGGAGCTGATGTGGCTCAACGAGAAAGAGGAGGAGGAGGTCAACTTCGACTGGAGCGAGCGGAACACCAACATGGCCTCCAAGAAGGAAAGCTACTCGGTGCGGTAAAACATGTCGTCTTTGTGGCTGCGAAGGTTTCTGTTGGTTCCTGCAGCGTGGCGGGGGGGGGCTGACCCCGCCTGACCCCTGCTGACCCCGCCTGTTCCTCCTCTGCTGCAGGGTTTGATGAGGGAACTGGAGCTCCGGGAGAAGAAGGTGAACGGAGTTCAGGCCACAGGAGACAAGCTGCTGCGGGACGGACACCCCGCCAGGCAGACCATCGAGGTGAGACGGTCTGCGCCGCTGTGGTCTACAGACTCCTCCTCCTGTTGTAGAAATGTTCCCTGAAACATGGACTCCTCCTCCTCAGGCCTTCACGGCGGCGCTGCAGACTCAGTGGAGTTGGCTCCTCCAGCTGTGCTGCTGCATCGAGACGCACCTGAAGGAAAACACAGCCTACTTCCAGGTACGACCTCTGACCTACGGCGAGGCGAGGAGCCGGGATGAAGAGTCGCGACCCGGAACAGGAAGTCAAGTCACTGAAAGCTCAGACGTCGTCTTCAGGTCTGAACCTGTTTGGTTTGTTTTTATGCAGTTTTTTGCTGATGTGAGAGAGGCTGAGGAGAGGATGAAGAAGATGCAGGAAGTGATGAAGAGGAAGTACACCTGCGACCGCTCCGTCACCGTGACGCGGCTGGAGGATCTGCTGCAGGACGCCGCTGTGAGTTCATCGTATTTAAGCTGTTCAGCTGCATCACAGTTTCATTACTGTTTGGATGCTGGAACGTACGGAGCTCAGTTTGGGCCAAAAATATTCCTCAAAAATACTTTCTTTTCAAAACAGAAGAAAAAGTGAAACTAAATAATTATTTGGAAAATAAACTGATTTCATACTACACATAAAAAAATGGATAAAAGAAAAAGATAAAAAAAAGATTTAAAGTTAAAAAAAAAACCTTTAAAGGAAAAGTTCGTTCATAAAGGAATAATCAATGGATCATTATTTATACCTAAAACTAATACGTTGGCAGTGATGTAATGAATTTAGCGTTAATTAGCAAAATAAATAAAAACAATAATTTTCGTGGCGATCTCTGAGTCTGGGAGCAGCCATTTTTGCCCAAATATAGTAGCCCCTCCCTCCTGCCATCTTCCAGCAGTGATCGCCAACTTGAAGAGGGAGGATTTGCCATCGAACTTCTGGCCAGAGAAAAAACACGTAATAGGAAAAAAAAGAGGGGCGTGAAGGAAGCCATCTTTGTTCAGAAAGAAAAACCAACCTTAAACAGAGGGTGGGGGGGGGACTCAGATTTCAGTTTTCAAAAACCTTCAATTCAGCGATAGAGTTGATTCCTTCCCGCCAGTGTTGTGGTCAAGACCACCTAACCCGAGACCAAGTTAAGACCAAGACCAGAGTGAATCCAGACCGAGACAAGACCAAGACTTTTAGGGTCCGAGACCGAGTTAAGACCAAGACCAGCGGCAGTATGTGGCAATAAAATGTGGAACATGATCAAAATCACAAAAATCGATCTAAAAGACCCACATTCACATAAAAACACCTAGATATTTAACACACAGAACTGGACTAAACATTAACATCTTTATTTAGTACTTCTGTTTCTCTGCCGCTCATGAACAGTACATACATTTGTGTTGTTTTTTAAATGTGCTATTTCAAAACAATGTGCAAAATTCTGTAAAATGTGTAAAACTGAAAAAAAAAGCCAATAATTTCTCTTGTTTCTCTCTCATATACAGATTAAAGCTATATTATATAACTTTTCTTAAATCTACATCTGTCACCAAGTTGTGAAATATGTTATGAGACAGATAATTTGTTGAAAAAATAGATTGATCTCCTTCACTGCATAAATGGCTTAAATTAAGTATATTTAGCCTTAATTTGAGCAGGTAAATAAGATGATTTGCCAATGGAATGAGTATTTTCACTCTTAAAATAAGATAGTTAGATAATATTTACTTGAAATAAGACGATAAAATAGTTTTTTCTTATTTTAAAAGGAAATTGTCTTGTTCCATTGGCAAAGTGTCTTACTTACCTCCTCAAATCAAGGAAAAACACACTTATTTTAAGAAAAAATAACTTATTGAGATTTATATTTTTTGCAGTGCAATGAGACTATGAGGATATTGCTGGGATTTGAATCCAAGCATCCAATAAAAAGAAGGATCTTAAAGAAACTGATAATATTCTGATGATTAGCGTTATTTCCACAGCTGTGGTCTTGACCGGTCTTGAAATAAAATGCCGAGTCCTCAGCGCCCGAGACCGAGACAAGACCGAGACCAAATGCGGTCAAGTCCGAGACGAGACCGAGACCATGAAAAAATGGTCTACAGACCAAGACAGATCTCGAGTACTACAACACTGCTTCCTGCTATCATCGCAGCCCCAACCCCTTTACAGGAGAACAGAAGACCTCGCCTATTCAGCCAGGCCAACTATTCCCTCTAACGACCCCCCCTTTCAGAGACATAGACAGGTATGGGGCATTGCAGGCGAACAAAGAAGACAAACGGCCCCCATTCCAAAGGGGGGGACCCGTTCATCCGTTTCTATCTGCATGTTTTCTAAACTAAAACCAGGCTTTGTTGGGCTGCTGGATAAAACCTGGAACTAAACGCTATTTCTGACATTTTGGATTGAAAAATCTTCCTGGATGGAAGAGAAACGTCTTCAAACTGGAAACAAAGTCCAGTGGATTGATTTTTAGCTTTTCTGGGATGATTATGACCTGGATGACAGAGAATCTTCACCAGGATAAACCCAGTTTAGTGAATCAGTCAGTTAGAAACGACTCCTGGATCGGTCACATGACTTTCGGAAAACAACACGTGCACCAATACAGTGTTGTTTTTACTCTATGGGCTCCAAAAATACACCAACGCTTCAGTGTTACTGGACCCATCACCACCATAGTTAATACCAGTTTATCCTTTTAGTTTATTTAGTTTATCCCTTCAGATTTGTACGAAAAATAGACTTTTAAGGTCAGATCACCACACGCTTCAAAAACCAACAAAAAGTAATTTAATAGTTTTTTTGTGACTAAAGGGATAGACGCCCGCTGAGGTAGTTTAAAGTGTATTTTCATGCATATTGACTGTGGGTATCCTGATCTGACAGAACACCAGCACATCCTCTCTGTTAAACTCTTTGACTGCAGGATGAGAAGGAGCAGCTGGCCGAGTTTCAAACTCACCTGGAAGGTCTGAAGCGGCGAGCCAAGACCGTGGTCCAGCTGAAGCCGCGGAACCCCGCCAGCGCCATCAAGGGGAAACTGCCCATCCAGGCCGTCTGCGACTTCAAACAGATGGAGGTAAGCGGGACGTCTGGGTCCCTCCCGATGGAGCGTGCCACCCGGAGCCGGCTTTGATCCGGGTTCTGCTCTTCCTGCAGATCACCGTCCACCGAGGAGACGAGTGCGCCCTGCTCAACAACTCGCAGCCGTTTAATTGGAGAGTTCTGAACGACAAAGGCAGCGAGGCGTCGGTGCCGTCCATCTGCTTCCTGGTGCCGCCCACCAATAAGGACGCCGTCAACCTGGTTGCCGGGTAGGATGACCCCGAGGGGTGACCTCATTACACCTCAAACTAAATCAGAAGCGTTTCTGCTATTTTACCGACTGATTCCGACGATGGAGCATCAGGGCCAGTTAGAGACTTTTTTATTTTGAGAATAAAGTCTTAATATTACAGAATAAAGTCATCATACAGCAACATGTTTCAGAAAGAAAGCTTGGAGCTCCGCCCAGCATATGACGGCCAACCAGCTCCACCAATCAGCAACCAGAGTCCACTTTGACATCCTGCCCAGTTTGATGCTGCTGCTAAAAGATTTCCTGATTTGTCAAACCGATGCTAAAGTAGAACTTCCCATGATGCTCCACATTCCTCATTTTAGGGAAGAAAGGGATTCTGGGAAGAGTTGTCAGAAAATACAACTTAATTCTAGTAATATTACGACTTTATTCTGGTGATGTTACGATTTGATACTTGAAATAGAAAAAAAAAATCTCTAGCCTAGCCTTAATACTCCTTTTTACGGAAGAGGATTAGGGCAAATGGAAAAAAAAAAAAAGTTAACTAATTTTTTTTATTTTATTTCAGTTTAGTATGGGAAAAAAGTCAGAATTCTGACTTTTTTCTTAGAATTCTGACTTTAATCTCAGAATTATGACTTTTTTTCTCAGAATTATGACTTTTTTTCTCAGAATTCTGACTTTAATCTCAGAATTATGACTTTTTTTCTCAGATTTATGACTTTTTTTCTCAGATTTATGACTTTAATCTCAGAATTCTGACTTTTTCCTCAGAATTCTGACTTTAATCTCAGAATTATGACTTTTTTTCTCAGAATTATGACTTTTTTTCTCAGAATTATGACTTTTTTTTCTCAGAATTATGACTTTAATCTCAGAATTCTGACTTTAATCTCAGAATTATGACTTTTTTCTCAGAATTCTGACTTTAATCTCAGAATTATGACTTTTTTTTCTCAGATTTATGACTATAATCTCAGAATTCTGACTTTAATCTCAGAATTCTGAGATTTTTTTCCCATACTAAACTGAAATAAAATTTAAAACTCAGTTAATTTTTTTTTCCCCACTGGCCCTAATCCTCTTCCGTACCTTTTAGATTCCCTCCATGGCGCAGATAAAATAAATAGTTTTATGTGAACAAATATGGAAGTAATTTAATAAAAGTAAGTAAATTAATCACTATTATATTGATCATTTATTACAGGAGATGTGAATTTTATTTATACTTTGCTTCTCCTTTTTAGCGCAGCTTTGTGGTAAAACCTAACCTCTGTGTAAAATACAGTAATGCGTATTTGCCTTATGGATCCCTCTAATATTTATTTAGCATTTAGATTGTTTCTTATATGTTAGCGTTGCATATTCATACAAAAATATCTGGTATTATAAAAAAAATTTATAAACATTTTTGCTCTTGCAAGAGTTGTCATAAAATACAACATTATTCTTGTAATTTTATAACAATTTATAAATATGTTGCTCAAAAACCTGAGCTGAGGCAGAGGACGCCAAACAGATGAGGGAGGGGTTTCCATAGTGAGGCCCCGGGGCCCAAAATGGCCCCTGGGAGGAATTTATAGGGTTTTCCTGTCTGATGCTGAAACACATTAAAACAAATAAATATTAGAGAGACTTTAAAAGGAAAGAGCAAAAATGAAAAGCTTAAACTTTAACCGTTTAAACTCAAACTGGACTGTTGGTTTTTAAACAGTTTTTTTTTTTTAAAGCTGCCACCTGAATTAATCGACTGTTCAGCTCCTCAAACTTGGCTGAAGAAATCCTCTGGAGACTGAAAAACATAAACGCGCTAAAATTTAAATACCTGGGAGATTATATGAGTGCGTAATTATTTAATTAGATTATTTCATTTTTATTATTGATGTTTTTTTCTTGTACAGATTAGACTGTTTTGCTATATTATGATTTTAGTTTGTTGTCCAGCAGGTAGAAATATTTAGAAAAAAGAAAAATTAAAATAGTTTTTGCATTTTCATCTTTTTTTCCCCATTAAGAAATTACTTTACAAAACTGGTGTTTAGAAAACAAAGAATCATTTATAAAACTAACAATGTGTCACAGAAATGAGCTGATCAGGTTATCCTGTTAGCAGCTAGCTGCTACGTTAGCTAAAAAGATGGCTGCTGATTGGTTGTGCAGAAGCTGGTTTAACCTCCAGCTGGTCTCCTTCAGGCTGGACGGGAACCTGCAGAGGCTGCAGACCACCTGGCAGACCATGTCTGTGGACCTGAAGAGTCTGTTATCCTGGCAGTACCTGATGAGAGACATCCACATCATCAACTCCTGGAACATCACCATGGTAACCGCAACGCACACGGCCCCACACAGACATGGAGCGTCTCAGGAGGCGTTCGCTGCTAGCTCCCACTGGCCCAAGTTATTACAGGAAGAAACGTTGGACTTTTCCTGTGAGAAGTCATTAAATTGTGATTAAATCTCGTTAACTGAGATGTGGATTAAATTGTTGGATGTCCACATTTGAACTTTATTGATAAATCAAATTTAAACCAGAAGCAGGAGTAGAAGAGAAGAAATAATCCAATTTAAAGCCAATCAAATCACTAAAAGCAGAAATAAAAGCACCAATTGGTCTGGACTCAATTTTTATTGTTAAAAAGATTTTTTTTATAAAAATAAAAAAATTGTTTTCAAAAAATTCAAAAAAATTTATTTCAAAGTTCTAAAAACCTTTTTTGATTAAAACCTTTTTCAGATATTCTGGATTTTTTTTTCATTTACCAAAGATGTTTTGCTTTGCTTCTTTTTATTGAAGCCGTTTGGAGGCGGGGCTTCGGTTCTGGCTCCTCCCCGGTTCTCTGACCCAGGCTCAGACTGGTCATCTGTGATCCCGGGCATCTGCCCGGTGGACCGGCCCTCCTTAAATCATACTGCACCCTAAGCTCCTTCCTGTGACAGTAAATAAGTCACGCAGTAATCTAAAGTTAACTACCTAAATGATGCAGCATATATAGCCCTTCCTAGTGACGGTTGGCATATGGTGTCATTTTCTATTTCTTCAAACTGTAAAATCCTTGCAACAAACTAAATTATAATAAAACTAAATGTTTTCTTTAAACCAATCTACGATGTTCCTCTTATATTTGGCGAATTTATGTTCGATAATTTTGCAAAAATTTGTATTGGTGAATGATGGGGTTTTGCATCTAAAGGCTAAAGTTTCCTAGCCTGGGTGCCATTCCGAACTTAGTCCCGCCCACAACGTTTGAGGTCGGGAAGTTCGGTCTGGCATTGCTCAATAGTAGCGCGAGTATGCTAGCACAATATCTGGCGGGCCAATCAAATTGTCAGGGCGGGCTTTATACGATGATGGACAGATGATCAACAGTAACGTAATCAACCACGTCACCAAAGCGCGCTTGGGTGACAACAACAATGGCTGCCGCCGGAGAGTTGAGGTGAGTAGATTCTGCTATTAGGTCTGTTCTAGAAGATATCGACAGCAAATTAATTTTAAAACAGCGAAACGCGATCAAGGCTCATCTTCTTATTCTAGGCGTGCAACTGCACGCTTTGATTTTTGTTGACAACAACTATGCGTGGCTTAACATACGTCACGCACTCCGTTGCTCTTATTGGTTGTAGGTCTATCCAATTGAGTGCAGAGGCATTTTTTTTCCTGTTCGTTCAAAACACGCCCCATAATCACAGCTCTATGGAGCAGCATCAGACTCATTCTGACTAGAATTGAGTCGGACTACGTCAGGCTATACGTTTCCCGTCTTACCTGCATTGTTGTCAGGTTGGGATATTTAGTATCAGTAGGGCTGCTGGTTTCATTGATTTCAGCCTGTTGACTAACGGAAAAAAATAATCCATTTACACCACCCTTGAGAAACCGTGCAGAGACCGGTCCGAGCTCAGTAACTGAGATAACTTATGGTGTGTAAATGGAAAGCAAACTGAACCGAACCGAGCTAGACACAACCGGACCGAGCTAACTGCAGACCTGATCCAGAGGTGGGCTCGGCTTGGTTTTTCCCTGGCTCGGTTCTCTGATAACAAGAGCGCATGAGCAGAACGCGTCATCTCCGTCTGGCTACACATCGCGATTCACACTCCATTCCAGTAGGTGGCGGTAATGCCCCTCTGGAAACAGAAGAAGAAGAACAACATCTTCTTTAACTATAAACAACAATCCAAATCTTCTCCACGCAACATTTTAAATAATAACACCGAAGCACAGCAATAATAATAAAGCATAACTTTCTGAATGTGACGGGCGGCGCCATTTTGATTTGCTTGATTCCCTGCTTCTTCGTCTTCTTCTTCTTGTGTTTTATGGCGGTTGGCAAACAACTTTTGGTGCATTACCGCCACCAACTGCTTGATTTCCTCCTTCAATACTGGCAGTAATACCGCAGATCGGCACTAGGAGGCGAGGAGTCGAGATAGTGTGAAAGTGTGATGCGTAAACGGTCAACAGAACGGAGCTCGGCCTGGTTAACTGATCCGAGCTCGGACCGGACTCGGCATGGATCAGTTTTTAGAGGGTAGTGTAAACGGGGTAATGGTGTTTATATTATTCCGTTTCATTTCCCAGAAGCTGACACACCTCTCAGCTTTCATGGATTCTTTATTGTATTGTTTTATGTTTGTGTTTTTGCAACACTCGGGCTGATGTTGTAGACCTAGTATGTGTGAGCGGCTGTCGTGGACGTTACGCAGCCGCAGCCACTGTGGCGTCCATGTTAATAACCAAAGCCAGTTAAACCGCATTCTAGAAGTCTTGGTGATGCTTTAAGATAGATGAGTTAATGTATTCGTGTTGTTTCATATTTGAGACGGTGTAGATGAGAAAAACACCCGCTCTGACCTTTCCTCTAACCTCTCCGGTCCAGTTTAAGACTCTGCGGGTGGACGAGTACCGGCTGGCTCTGAGGAACCTGGAGCAGCACTACCAGGACTTCCTGAGGGACAGCCAGGACTCCCAGATGTTCGGGGCGGAGGACCGAATGCAGGTGGAGTCCAACTACAACCGCGCCAACCAGCACTACCAGACCATGGTCAGCTCTGCAGAGCAAGGTTGGTTCTGTTCGGGTCCGGCTGCTCACCCCCCCACCTCATCTCATTATTTCTGTTTTTGACACCATGTGATCAGTGAGTGAAATGATTGTCGGGTTCCCGTTGCAGGCTTCGCGCCGCCCAGAGCAGGTAAGGAACCGGGTCTACGGCGGCAGCTTGTGATTGGCTGAGTGGGACTGAGTGTGCTTTGTTTTTAACCATCCTCTCTAAACCATCCTAACCGCTCTGATCGTGTGTCTGTGCATGTTTGAGAATCTGTCATTATTAACCCCGAATGATTTAATGAGTGGAGCAAATGATGTAGGCTCTGATCCGAGTGTAGGCCTCACCTGCGGACGGCAGGAAGCTCTTTGATTCATTTATTGTCGGTTTCTAATGTGACACCTACTTAAGACGCGGCGGGACGTTCAAACAGATCCTGATCAGTTCCTGAATCAGTCAGAAAGGATCATCGACTGGATCCGCTCCTGCTGCAGGCAGCTCACTGTCTGAAGCTCAGGGAGGAGAAGCTTCAGCGACTGGGAAACTGGTTCATGGATGTCTGTATGGGGGGAATTTTGTTCCATTATTGTTGCAAACAATATGTTTTAAAAAATTGCAATCCAGAATTTTAACTTGGAAAAACTTCTCAATCAATAAAGATTTTATATTAGATATTTCATATTTTTAAATATATTTTATATTTTCAAATTGTATTTTTTATATATTTTATATTATATATTTCATATTTTTCAGTACATTTTCTAATTTTATTTTTTTATATATTTTATATTTCTTAATATATCCTATATATTCAAATTTTTATATATATTTTTTTTATATTATGTATTTTAATTTTTTAAATATAATTCATATTTTAAAATTTTGTTTTTTCAAATATGTTTTTTCATAAAGTTTCCCAAATTGCGTTCTTATGTCTTTACTTCGCAGTCGATCAATACGATGTTTTCGCTGTCGTCCAGCTGGCCAATAGAAATGCGTCTTTGCTCCTCAATTGCCGCCCCCAGAATTGAAGAACATGTGATCTGAAAAGAATGAAATACATAAAGCTTAATCAGAAAAATTGAATTAAAAAAAAGTAAAAAATAAAAAAAATAATAATGTGAAAAAATGAAATTACGTGAAAACAGATACATTTTTCATTTCTTGACTGCTTTTTTTTTATTTTATTTTTTTTCAGTGACAGAAAATGTTCTTTGCAACAATAATGGAAAAAAATGACTCCATAATCTTAGGGCCTAAAATGTAGAAATGAACAAAAATACTGAAATTGATGAGAGATTAAATGTTTTCCTCGGTCCTTTCTGGAAGGTCAAATCGTTGCTTTTGTTCCTGATGGATCCGATGTGTTTTCTCCAACCAGGCGAGCAGGACGAGTCGGTGTGTAAGACCTACCTGACAAAGATCAAAGACCTCCGTTTGAGGCTGGAGGGCTGCGAGAACCGTACGGTGACGCGTCTGCGGCAGCCGCTGGACAAGGAACCGCTGAAAGCCTGCGCCGCCAAGACCACGGAGCAGATGGTATCAGCAGAGCCGAGCAGCAGGTTCTGGAGGATTCTGTTCCTCTCCAACTGTCCTGTTTCTGTGTCTCCATGACAGAAGGTCCAGTCGGAGCTGGAGGGCCTGAAGAAGGACCTCGGCTCCATCGCTGAGAAGACGGAGGAGGTCCTGGCGTCTCCTCAGCAGTCCAGCTCTGCTCCGATGCTGCGCTCCGAGCTGGACGTCACCCTGAAGAAGATGGAGCACGTCTACGGACTGTCCACCGTCTACCTGGACAAGTTAGTGCTTCTTTAACCCCTTCAGCCCAGAAGGTCTTAGGAATAAATTCCACCTGAAATTACATGTGAATTAATTTAAGAGCAGCTCCCAAACTATACATTAGAAATACAATAGTTTGTATTTGTACGACAGAAAGGCATCAAGGAATATTTTTCAGGTGGAACCACTATTTTAAATGTCACCATGTTTGATTTATAGGTGATTAAACAAAGAAAAAATGTAAAATATTCAGCCTCACCAAATTTTTTTCCAAATAACTCTGAAAAGCACCATTGTCGGGTCTAACACCTATAACACTGTAAAACAAGGAAAGAAAAAGGCACAGAGTCAGAATTCTTTTTACTCACGAGGAGAGTAGGAAGAGACTGCCGAGTGTACAAATCTCCACCCCACTCTGCCGGTCTTCAGCTTTCTCCTCGCTATTTATTAAAGCCAGGGGGGTTCCCTAGTTACACAAGCTGAGGTTGCACTAAAGGAATAGGAAACTAGAAATACAATTCAATTTGCAGCCTCAGTGAACAGATCAATTTGCATTTAATTGTCTTGCGGTCAAATGGTCCGAGAACCTCCTGGTTTCGTTAAGCTTGAGCAATACTTCCTGATAGTTGACCTATACTGCTTGTGCAACACCTCTTTGGATCAGTAATATGTCACACATTATACATCATAAGAACAAACATTAAGTATCCTATACATAATTATTCCAACAACCTTGAAAGCCCATTAGAACCTCTGGATGAACTCAGATTTTATAGATCCACATCTTGACTAAAACTCAAGCAGATTTGGACTGAATCAGTTAAAGCATGTTTGTTCCACAGAGGTTTTAGTGGGCAGTGTGCTACGAGGAGATGTGATTTTAAGACAGTTCCAAAACAGCAACAATGCATTTATTCGCTCTAAGAGGGAATCTGATCAATTAATAAACTGATTTACATTATTGGAGACCTTCTGCTCTAATGCTACGTTCAGACCGATGCAGCAGGAGCAGCAAAAACGCGCGTGCTGCTTCATTTCTGATGCTTCTACAGTTTAGTTCTGACGTGCAGCTGAAGCATCTTTGCTGCGTTGTGGTAAAGCGGGTCTGATGCGCGTTGGGCGGAGCTACCCCATCCTATCCTTTCTTTGCCTGGAACAATGGCGGCTATATTTACTGTGATCAGCGGGTAAAAAGTAGTTTGAATCTATTCTCACTGGAAAAACAATAATTAAAAAGTTTCTTAAATGAAGTGTACTCACCCACCAGCCTTCCCTCCCTGCCGACCGTCTGGGATTCTCTGAGCCGTGAACTTGTTTTCCAGGCTGAAGACCGTCGACGTGGTGATCCGGAACACTAACGATGCAGAGGACTCGCTGAAGAACTACGAGACCCGTCTGCGGGACGTCAGCAAGGTTCCTGCCGATGAGAAGGAGGTGGAGGAGCGGCGCGGCCAGCTGAAGGTAGCCGTCTGTTCGGCTGGCTGAGGAACGCCGTCTGTTCCCGCCTCCCGCTGACCGCCTCCCTCTCTTCCCTGAGCAGGCGATGCGGGCTGAAGCCGAGGCCGACCAGGCCGTCTTCGACCGGCTGCAGGACGAGCTCCGCAGGGCGACGGCCATCAGCGACAAGATGAGCAGGATCCACGGCGAGCGCGAAGGCGAGCTGGATCACTACCGGCAGCTGGTGAGCGGCCTCCTGGAGCGCTGGCAGGCTCTGTTCGCTCAGATCGACCTGCGGCTGCGGGAGCTGGACCTCCTGGGGCGCCGGATGAGGAGCTACAGGGAGAGCTACGAGTGGCTGATCCGATGGCTGGGAGAGGCGCGGCAGCGGCAGGAGAAGATCCAGTCTGTGCCCATCGGAGACGGGAAGGCTCTCAGGGAGCAGCTGGCAGAGGAGAAGGTAGTGAGCTTACCTAACTGACGGCCTGGGATGTTCTGCGAAGGTCCGATCGGAGCCTAACGTCAGTCTGTTGGTTCTTTCAGAAACTCTTGGAGGAAATTGAGAAAAATGAAAAAGAAGTCCAAAGCTGTCAGAAAAATGCCAAAGCGTACATCGATTCAGTGAAGGTAACAGCTGAGAGCTGCAGGTTTCCATGGGAACCAGGGTTCTTTCAGGTTCTGACGGGTTTGGACTCTGTGTTCTGAAGGATTACGAGCTGCTGGTCCTGACCTACCGAGCTCTGCAGGATCCCATGGCTTCTCCTCTGAAGAAACCCAGGATGGAGTGTGCTTCAGACGACATCATCCAGGAGGTTCGCAACCCCTCCTCCAGCTGCACCCTTCACACCTGCGCTGCAGTGGCCGCCATACCTCCTCCTCATCCTCCTCATCCTCATTCCAGTTACCACAAAAACTGATCTTTACTGACGATTTGAATTAGATTTTAATGCTTTATGTTCCCACAGATTGAATAAATGGGAACTTTAGTCAAACAGTAAAAAATAAAAAATAAACTTTAGTACAATGAGGAAGGGATGGATGGATGGATGGATGGATGGATGGATGGATGTTGGATGGATGGATGGATGGATGGATGGATGATGATGGATGGATGGATGGATGATGATGGATGGATGGATGATGGATGGATGGATGGATGGATGGATGGATGGATGGATGGATGGATGGATGATGGATGGATGGATGATGGATGGATGGATGGATGGATGATGGATGGATGGATGGATGGATGGATGGATGGATGGATGGATGATGGATGGATGGATGGATGGATGGATGGATGGATGGATGATGGATGGATGGATGGATGGATGGATGGATGATGGATGGATGGATGGATGGATGGATGGATGGATGGATGGATGATGGATGGATGGATGATGGATGGATGGATGATGGATGGATGGATGGATGGATGGATGGATGTTGGATGGATGATGGATGGATGGATGGATGGATGGATGGATGGATGGATGGATGGATGGATGATGGATGGATGGATGGATGGATGGATGGATGGATGGATGGATGATGGATGGATGGATGATGGATGGATGGATGGATGGATGGATGGATGGATGGATGATGGATGGATGATGGATGATGGATGGATGATGGATGGATGGATGGATGGATGGATGGATGGATGGACTGTAGTTGTTGTTCGACCATCGTTGGATCATCTCCTTCTGCTGATTTGGGTTCAAAGATCAGAAGCTTCTTCTGAGGCGATGAGCAGGAGAACCGGTCTGATCCGGATCTCTAACCCGCCGTCTGTCTCTGCCTGTCTGCAGTATGTGACCCTGAGAACCCGCTACAGCGAGCTGATGACGCTCACCAACCAGTACATCAGGTTCATCACAGACACACAGCGCCGCCTGGAGGACGACGAGGTGAGTCCGCCGCCGCCCGCCGCGCTCCTCCTCCTCCTCCTCCTCCACACGTAGGAGACAGGAAACGGTCTGCAGACGGTGATGAAGCAAAAACACCTTCATCCTGTTTTTCATCCCTGCTGCAGTAAAACCCGACGTCCTTCATTTAAAGCATGAAACCCAGTCAGGAACCAGGAAACCCAGTTTAATTTAGCTCCACCTGCTGGTCAGGAGGCTTCCCTCCTGCTTCCTGCCTCTCAGCCATTATTTGACCTTTTTCTTTGTTTCTAACTTTATCTTCTGTTTGGCTCCTCCTCTGAACGACTCGCATGGTGAAAACGTTCACATGAGTTTACCCCAAAGCTTCCAGGTATTTACCAACGCGCCCTCCCATCCCTGGCTCATTGCATCACTTCCTGTCTGTGCGAAGGAAGGTTCAAAGGTCTCAGGAATCATTCAGATCCAGCTTTAGTTTCAGCTGTTGGAAATCTCTGAATCAGAATTTCACTCGCGGGTATTTCAGGAGAAGAGTTTAAAACATTTGTACCCTTTCTGTAGCCTTCCCTGTTCCAGTACCGGTTAGCCGCTAAGCGTTAGCCGCTAAGCGTTAGCCGCTAAGCGTTAGCCTGCGTCATCCAGAACCGTGTTGGGTTTATGTCCGAGGTCACCACGCATCAGACTGAGCCTAAAGCTGCTTGAGGGGCAGTTCTGGAGCGTTTTGATGCACCCGTCCCACCGGCTGTGAAGCGATCCCTCAGCATGATGCTACCTCCTCCATGTTTTTCACCTGTTAGGTCAGAAGTCCTCGTTCTGTACAAGCATCTCAACAATTGTCCCGTCTGTTCAGAGGACGTCTGCTTTGTCCTTGTGGACTGCAGCGTGTTTAGGGTCTGGTTTGGATCCGGACCAGGATGATGTCACGCTGGGTTCTCTGAGGCCGGTGAACCTGGTCCTCCTAGGACCCACCTGGTTGGTCCACTTGGACCCTGATCCTGAACCCAGATCTTAGATAAAGCAGGCCGACAGTCGTCTTCCCAAACGTTTAGAACTGGGATTAAAAAAGGACAAAAGTCCAGATTCAAACACGATTAAAGTTTATCTGACCTCCATAACAGCGAATTTTTGTTGACCTTTGACCTCAATAATTAACAGGTTGAAGATTTAAATCCTTTTAATCTGATGCTTGAACCTGGAGGATAATTGGATGAAATCTGTTTAACTGGATGAACATTTTCTGATCTCTCAGGAATATCTTCATCGTTTTTAATTTCCTTCTATAAAATCTGCAGATGTTCTCGCTTTCAGGCTGGAACCAGAACCAGAACCAGAACCAGACAGTGAGGTTTGACTTTCTCCAACACTGCCGGCTTTTTACACGTTTTTACGTTCGCTCACTGATGAATTCTGCTGGTTGTGGTTGAAGCTCACAGCTCTAGACCTTCAGATGAATCATTCACACATCTGGATGCAGCAGAATTCACAGAAACATTTTATTTCTGCTAATCTGCAGCTAAATAAGGAACTAAATAAGTCGTTTTTTTTCTTCTTTTTACAATTAAAGAAGAGAATAAATGAGAAGCGGCGTTCAGCAGATACTTCCCAATAAATGATACGAACAGAGATAAACTAAATGAGATCGACACAAGGCAGTACTGATGATTAATTAAATCTCAGCTTTAAATCTATAAACATTTGATAGAGTAAAACTTTCTTTAAATCTCCTAACGAATAAAGTCTGAGATTAAAGATTTAGATTTAAGATGGATGGATGGATGGATGGATGGATGGATGGATGGATGGATGGATGGATGGATGGATGGATGGATGGATGGATGGATGGATGATAGATGGATGGATGGATGGATGGATGGATGGATGAATAAATGAATGGATGGATGATGGATGGATGGATGGATGATGGATGGATGGATGGATGGATGGATGGATGGATGGATGGATGGATGGATGATGGATGGATGATGGATGATGGATGGATGGATGGATGGATGGATGATGGATGGATTGATGTCATATAAATATAATATAGTTGAATCTAAAATCTTAAAATAGACGTAACGTTTGGATTTAAAAAAAAATGTTTCTATTTAGCTTTTTGCTCCTAAATCTTAGAACTAAAATTGAGGTCAGAAACGTGACGTTTTTAACCTTTGACCTTCATCCGTTCCTGACCTTTGACTCCATCTTGTTGGCGTTCCCTCCTGAACGATTTCTAGACCCTGAACCTTCCTGCTCCTCCTCAGCTTCATCTCCCACCTGCTGCATTCATGTTCTCAGTCAGTGTGGGATTTTTTTATTTCGTCTCTTTGCTGCATCACTTTTGCTCCAAAACCTTTTTTTGTTGTGATCCTCCTTTCAGACTGATGGATGTTTTCTAGATGTTTCTATGTTTGCATGCTGCTGAGTTCTTCCTCACAATTTCCTCTTTATTATTTTACTCTTTCAAAGGTTGATTTAAAGATTGAATAAACTAAAAGACAAAGATTTCTCTTTATATAAACGAGCTGTGAGACGTTTGCTTCATGTGAAACCAGCAATAAATGAAACCAGTTTCTGTTTTCTACCCAATGGAGGCTGAATGGAAATTTACAGAAAAAAAAACAAATATAAATGAAAGAGGATATAGTTCTCTATAGTTTTATAAAAAAAAAAATCCTCTCAGAATTAAACATGGGTTTATTATGAGTTAAATTTTTATACAACTTAATATTTGTATTAATCTAAGCAAATGATTAAATCCATCTCAGTTTTTGAATTTTCAAACATAGAATTTGACTTGTTTTACAAATTTCAATGTTTTTGATATTTTCCTGAATCCAGAACGCGTAAAATTATTACATTTACTGCAGGTTAAAGTCCTTTAATATTAAAATGTCAATTAAGATTATTTTATCTGAATTGTAAAATAACTGGGATAAAGAAATAATAGGATGGAAATTATCAAAACAGGATTTCATCATTTTTTTTTTTATTGTTACCAGATTCCTGGATTGATTTAAATCCAGGAATCTGGTAACAATAAGAAAAAAAAAACTCTGGAAAAAAATGTAAAATATTAAACATCATTAAATAATATTTTAACTAATAGACTGAAATAAAAGCACCGCTGTTCTTTCATTACAGTGGAAACCAATTAAAGCTACATGCATATAGAAATACTTATTCCAGTATTTCTCTCTCTGAATGTATATTTCTCTTTTATTGTATTATAATGTAGGTTATTTATACAAAAATAAATAAATCTTGAAATAAATAAAACTTAAGATAAATCATTAATGAATAAAATAATTCCTCTTGAGGTAAATAGATTAATCTTGATAAATAAATATATATTGCAATAATTAAATCATTAGATAAAACCAAAATAAATGAGTTTTATTAAATATGGAATCTTATTATTTGAACATTTAATAACCATCAATAACAGTTTTTTTATTTAGTTTTTAATAAACTGCTTCCATAATTGATGCCTTTAACATTCGGTATAGCTCCTGTCTCACCATGACGATTTAGACCAGCGAATGCCTGAAGTATGAAACATCAAAACGCCGGCATACGTTTGATAAGTTATGTTTTGTTTAAGTTATGAAGACGCTGAAACATGACATACGGCGAGAACGTCCCGATCTATGCCAGCGTACGTACGCTTATACTCGAGCTTCTACAGAAACTATGAGTAATGGAAGGTGGCTCACAGGAGGAAACCGTTAGTTCTCCTCCAGACTTCATCCCCATCATAAGGCCTGGTTATCATCCTGCAGCAGCGTGTTGCAGATATTTTTTTATTTATGCCCAATGTTGAAGCGTGGTCTGCGCTGTTATTCCACGCCACAACGCCAGAGGGCCAATCAGGAACTAGCTGTGGGTCTAGATACGGCCGAGGCGGTGAGGAAGTGGGGACGACAACGGAAGGACATGAGGGCCAAAAAGAGCGGGGATCCAGGTGGAAAAAGGGTCCCAGCGTTCTGGCGCACCTCGCTCTGCTAGCTGCTCCATCTTCACCAGTCGTTTTCCAATATGGCGGTCAGACAAACAGAACAAGCCGATAAGGAAACAAACAGGAAATACGCATAGAGTAGAGCGGATGTAGATCTGACCAATCAGAGCCCTCCTGTCTGCGCTCACCTATAATTTTTTAGAGGTGCAGCAGAGTGACTGCGGAAGGGGGCGGGGCATATCTGCGTTAACTGCGACGCATGCAGACGACCTGGTTTCTGAGCATAAAGCAGCCTATAGGGCAGCTAGGTTAATACTGCGATCAAAGAAATCTTTTTATGCAGACGGGGCGCCTGCAGGCGCATCGCTGCTCCTGTGGGGGGCAGCAATGTTCCTGAGAGAAGCAGCTTTAACTGACGCTTCGTAATGCCGTTACACTGCTGTACGTGATGCATAAGTTAGGCTGTCGTCGGACATAAGTTCTGAATGTTTTAGGAGATTCTGGGATGTCGGGCATAAACTGGCTAAATCATCATGGTGTGAAAGGGCCTTAAAACTCTAACTCCCAGCATGCTTTAGGTTATCTTCTGACCTGATCTAACAGCTCTAACCAGCTCTCCCGCTTTGCTTCCTCCAAAACAGAAAGCTTCAGAAAAACTAAAAGAAGAAGAAAGAAGAAAACTGGCAGAGGTTCAGGCTGAGCTGGAAAAGCAGAAGCAGCTGGCCGAGGCGCAGGCGAAGTCCGTGGCCAAAGCAGAGCAGGAGGCCCAAGAGCTGAAGCTGAAGATGAAGGAGGAGGCGGACAGGAGGCAGGATGTGGCCGTGGACTCGGAGAAGCAGAAGCAGAACATCCAGCAGGAGCTGCAGCAGCTGAGGAGCCTCTCTGAGCAGGAGATCAAGTCCAAGAGTCAGCAGCTCAAGGAGGCGTTGGACAGTCGGACCAAGATCGAGGAGGAGATCCACATCATCCGGATCCAGCTGGAAACGACGATGAAGCAGAAAAGCACGGCCGAGTCCGAGTTACAGAACCTCCGAGACAAAGCGGCAGAGGCGGAGAAGCTCCGGAAAGCAGCTCAGGACGAGGCGGAGAGGCTCCGCAAGCAGGTCGCAGAGGAGACCCAGAGGAAGAAAAACGCTGAAGATGAGCTGAAGCGCAAAGCTGAAGCCGAGAAGGAAGCGGCCAAGCAGAGGCAGAAAGCTCTGGAAGAGCTGCAGAAGTTTAAAATGCAGGCCGAGGAAGCAGAGAGGCGCGTGAAGCAGGCCGAGGAGGAGAAGCTGAGGCAGATCAAGGTGGTGGAGGAGGTGGCGCAGCAGAGCGCCGCCACCCACTTGCAGTCCGAAGCCAGGTCGTACAGCCGAAAGACGACAGAACTGGAGAACTCTCTGAGGAAAGAGCAGGGCACCGTCCTGCAGCTGCAGGAGGAGGCGGAGCGGCTCAGGAGGCAGCAGGAGCAGGCAGAGAAAGCCAGAGAGCTGGCAGAGCAGGAGCTGGAAACATGGAGGCAGAAAGCCAACGAGGCCCTCCGCCTCAGGCTGCAGGCGGAGGAGGAGGCCCAGAAGAAGAGCCAGGCTCAGGAGGAGGCGGAGCGGCAGAAGGTCGAAGCCGAACGAGACGCCAAGAGGAGAACGAAGGCGGAGGAGGCGGCGCTGAAGCAGAAAGAAAACGCTGAAAAAGAGCTGGAGAAGCAGAGGCAGTTCGCAGAGCAGATAGCGCAGCAAAAACTCTCCGCCGAGCAGGAATGCATCCGGCTGAAGTCCGACTTCGACCACGCTGAACAGCAGAGGGCGCTGCTGGACAGCGAGCTCCAGCGTCTGAAGAACGAAGTGAGCGCTGCAGAAAACCAGCGCAAGCAGCTGGAAGAGGAGCTGGCCAAAGTCCGCAGTGAAATGGACGCCCTGCTGCAGATGAAGGTCAAAGCGGAGAAGGAGACGCTGTCCAAGTCGGAAAAGAGCAAGCAGCTCTTGGAGTCCGAAGCTCTGAAGATGAAACAGCTAGCCGAGGAGGCCGCACGGCTCAGAGCGGTCGTTGAAGAGGCAAAGAAGCAGAGACAGATCGCAGAAGACGAGGCGGCGCAGCAGAGAGCGGAGGCCGAGAAGATCCTCAAGGAAAAGCTGGCCGCCATCAACGAGGCGACGCGATTGAAGACAGAGGCGGAGATCGCCCTGAAAGCCAAGGAGGCGGAGAACGAGAGACTGAAGCGCAAGGCGGAGGAGGAGGCGTATCAGAGGAAGCTCCTGGAGGACCAAGCTGCCCAGCACAAGCAGGAGATAGAGGAGAAGATCACCCAGCTGAAGGGCTCCTCTGACTCTGAGATGGAGAGGCAGAAAACTGTGGTGGAGGAAACTCTGAGGCAGAAGAAGGTGGTGGAGGAGGAAATTCACATCATCAGGATCAACTTTGAGAAAGCATCGAAGGAGAAGTCCGGCCTGGAGCTGGAGCTGAAGAAACTGAAGGAGGCGGCGGATCAGACGCAGCAGAGCAAACTAAAAGCTGAGGAGGAGGCGGAGAAACTGAAAAAACTGGCAGCAGAGGAGGAGAAGAAGAGAAAGGAAGCCGAGGAGAAGGTGAAGAGAATCGCTGCCGCAGAGGAAGAGGCGGCGCGGCAACGCAAAGCTGCTCAGGAGGAAGTGGAGCGACTCAAAAAGAAGGCGGAGGAAGCCAACAAGCAGAGGGACAACGCCGAGAAGGAGGCGGAGCGGCAGGCGGTCCTGGCCAAGGAGGCGGCGCAGAAATGCGGCGCTGCCGAGCAGAAAGCTCAGAATGTTCTCAGCAAGAACAAGGAGGACCTTCTGGCTCAGGAGAAGCTCCGAGATGAATTTAAAAACGCAAAGAAGCTCGCTGAGGCTGCCGAGAAGGACAAAGAGAAGGCGGAGAAAGAGGCAGCGCTGCTTCGACAGAAAGCCGAGGAGGCCGAGAGGCAGAGAAAAACTGCTGAGGACGAAGCCGCTAAACGGGCCGCCGCTCAACAGGAAGCAGAAAGACTGAGGAAGGAGGCAGAGGAAGAGGCATCGAGGCGAGCCGCCGCCGAGGCAGCCGCGCTGAAGCAGAAGCAGCAGGCGGACGCAGAGATGGCCAAACACAAGAAAGAGGCCGAAAAGGCACTGAAGCAGAAATCCCAGGTGGAGAAGGAACTTTCAGCCGTCAAGCTGCAGCTGGAGGAAACAGACAAGCAGAGAGAAGTGCTGGAGGCGGAGCTTCAGAGAGTCAAAGGAGAAGTCCACGATGCCGTCAAACAGAAAGCTCAGGTGGAGGAAGAGCTTTCCAAAGTAAAGAATCAGATGGATGAGCTCCTCAAAGTCAAACTCAAGATCGAGGAGCAAAACCGTCTCCTCATGCAGAAAGACAAGGACAGCACCCAGAAGTTACTCCAGGAGGAGGCCGAGAAGATGAAGAACCTGGCAGCAGAAGCAGCCCGGCTCTCTGTGGAGGCTGAGGAGGCGGCCAGGCAGAGACAGATGGCGGAGGCAGATTTGGCTGAGCAGAGAGCGCTAGCTGAGAAGATGCTGAAGGAGAAAATGCAGGCCATCCAGGAGGCAACGAGACTGAAGGCTGAAGCAGAGGAGCTCCAGAAACTCAAGGAGCAGGCTCAGGAGAAGGCACAACAACTGCAGCAGGACAAACGCCAGATCCAGCAGCGCCTTGAGAAGGACACAGAGGACTTCCAGAAATCTCTAGAGGTGGAGCGCACCAGGCACCGGGAAGCTTCTGCTGAGGCAGAGAAGCTGAAGCTCAGAGTCAAGGAGCTCAGCGAGGCTCGGTCCAAAGCCGAAGACGAGGCCAAGAAGTTTAAAAAGCAGGCAGAAGAAGCTAAAGGCCGTCTCCAGGACACAGAGATACAGGTGAAGGAAACCGTTGTGCAGAAACTGGAGACTCAGAGGCTGCAGAGCAGCAGGGAAGCTGATGATCTGAAAAAAGCAATAGCGGAGCTGGAGGAAGAGAAGAAGAAGCTGAGGAAAGATGCCGAGGAGCTTCAGAGGAAGACTCAACAGGTACAGTCAACAGAAGGAACGACACAGTCCGGTTTAACCCTCACGTTAGCATGCTTTAGCATATTTTATTCATGATCTTATTTTCATAATAGTTAAAAAGGAAATTTCATCTAGTAACCGATTTGGGCTAACAAACAGACAGAATAGCAAATCTAAAAGCCTTTACCATCAGCCCATTTTTGGTTTCTCCCGAATGGGAAGCCGTGTCAGTTCCTCACTCAAAGCAGGACTAATGCTACGTTCACACCGAACGCCATCAAAGAAGCTTCTGTTGCTTTATTTCTGAAGCTTTTCCACATTAAGGTCAGACGTCCAGTAAAGTGAGTCCAGATGCTTCTGCTGCTCCTGTGTTCAATGCCAGAGAGCAGCTATGCTATATTAGCTGTGATCAGCGGGTAGAAAGTAGTTAGAATCTATTTTTAAGTGAGAAATTCCTCCTGAAAACATTATGATCCTGCCTTTGAATATTATTTCGCTATCGGAGGAGCATGAAACCCCTGTACACCGGCGGAGTGCTGTCACTGGGAATCCCCAGCAGCAGCTGCCTCAGGCCCGCTCGCCTCTTGGGGGTTTTCCCCTCCTGTTGATGGCGACTGTTAGCTCTTTTGATGGACGTAATCCAAACTGCAGGCACCAAGAAATAAACGCGAACATATTCTGTCGGCAGGTTTCTACATTTGAAGTTAATTTAGGCGTTAACAAACTGTTTCAGAGAAGTGATCATAGCGCTCTGCATCAGCAGTGCTGCGTCTGACTCCCTGCCAGCTCCCAGATTAGCTCCTCTGATTGGTTGATGTGGGGCGTCCAGCAGCTGAAGGTCAATTTTTCCAACTCCATCCATCCGTCCCGCACCTCAAACGCGCAGCAGGATCTTTTGTTGCTCCTTGATGCACGTCAATTATGTAAACCTGCTGCTTCAATTGCGTGCGGAGTGAACGAAGCATTAGACCCTCAGGGTAGTACTCTGATTTTTTTTTACATTGAGCCCTTATAGTGATTAGCTATGAAAGCTACAACTTTTTTAACCAATTTGTTAAATATTTGATCCCTCTCTTTCTGAAAGTTGTGCCTATAACTAAGAGGTTATACCCCTTCTCTCCCACAGATGGCGACTGCCCAACAGGAGCAGATTGAGCAACAGAAGGTCCTACTTGAACAAACGTTCCTCTCTGAGAAGGAGCTGCTACTGAAAAGAGAAAAAGCCGTGGAAGAGGAGAAAACAAAGCTGGAGAAACAGTATGAGGAGGAAGTAAAGAAGGCAAAGGCATTTAAAGAAGAACAAGAGCGGCAGCTCACACTCATGGAGGAGGAGAGGAAGAAGCTGCAGGCCATAATGGACGAGGCTGTGAAGAAGCAGAAGGAGGCTGAAGCAGAGGTGAAAAACAAAAAGAAGGAGATGGAGGAGCTTGAAAAGAAGAGACTGGAGCAAGAAAAACTCTTGGAAGAGGAGAACAAAAAGCTCAGAGAGAAACTGCAGAGTTTGGAGGTTGCTCCTAAAAAGGGTACGTCCAAAACAAAGGAAATAGAAGTTCAGACTGAACAAGTTCAGGAGGAACAGCTGGGAACCACCAGGAAAGTTCTCAACGGCTCAGTGGAAGTGGACGGGGTGAAGAAAGATGGCGGATCCCCATTTGCATTTGACGGAATGAGAGAGAAGGTTCCAGCAGAGAGACTTCTGGACATTGGTGTCCTGAGCAAGAAGGACATGGACAAACTGAAAAAAGGCAAAGTCACAGTGCAGGAGCTTATGAAGACCGACAAAGTCAGATCGTGTCTCAAAGGCCAGAGCTGCATCGGAGGCATCCTGACTCCATCCAAAGAAAAAACGAGTGTCTACAAAGCCATGACTGAGAACAAGATCACCCCGGAGGCTGCTGCAATGCTTCTGGAAGCTCAAGCAGCTTCAGGCTACATTGTTGATCCAGTGAAGGACAAACTTCTCTCTGTAGACGAGGCTGTTAAGGAGGAGTTAGTTGGACCTGAACTCCATGAACGTCTCCTTTCTGCTGAGCGAGCGGCCACTGGCTTCAGAGATCCATACACCGGAGCTCGAATCTCTGTGTTTGAGGCCATGAAGAAGGGCCTAATGGATAAAGAGCAGGCCACCAAATTCCTGGACGTGCAGCTTGCAACGGGTGGAATCGTTGATCCCATCAACAGTCACAGAGTCCCACTCCAGACGGCTTACAAGCAGGGGCAGTTTGATGCAGACATGAACAAGAAACTCACAGATCCCAGTGACGAGTCCAAGTTGTTCATTGATCCCAGCACTCAGGAGCCACTCACATATAAACAGCTGCTGGAGAAGTGTACCAAAGACCCAGAAACGGGCCTGCTGATTTTACCGGTTACAGCGCAAGCTGGTCAGAGAGAGAGAACATACACGGATATGGAGACCAAAGAGGTGTTCAGCAGCTCCAATGTCAACGTTCCGTTTGGAAAGTTTAAAGGAAAAACTGTCACCATCTGGGAAGTGATCAATTCCGAGTATTTCACTGAGGAACAGAGAAGAGAGCTGATCCGGCAGTACAAGACTGGTAAGATCACCGTGGAGAAAGTCATCAAAATCGTCATCACTGTGGTTGAAGACAAGGAGAAGGAAAGCGGAAACCTCTTCAAGGGTTTGAGGGCTCCAGTGACCGCCAATGAGCTCCTGGAGTCTAAGATCATAAATAAAGACTTGTTCAACAAACTGAGCAATGGGAAGATCTCAGTCAAAGAGGTTTCTGAGATGGATGCTGTAAAGAAGGCCCTGCAGGGTACCCCCAGCATCGCAGGTCTCCTGAACGAACCAACTAAAGAGAAGATGCCTTTCTATCAAGCCTTGAAGAAAGAACTACTGTCCCCAGAGACAGCTGTGAATCTTCTGGAAGCTCAGGCAGCAACAGGATTTCTGATCGACCCTGTGAAAAACGAACGCATGCCTGTTGACCAAGCTGTTAAATCGGGTCTCGTTGGTCCAGAGCTGCATGAGCGTCTCCTGTCAGCAGAGCAAGCTGTCAGCGGCTACAAAGATCCCTACACGGGGAAAAAGGTGTCCCTTTTTGAAGCCATGAGCAAAGGCCTCGTAAAAAAAGACCAAGGAATCCGTCTGCTGGAAGCCCAAATTTCAACGGGCGGAGTTATAGATCCTGTTAAAAGCTGTCGCGTCCCCAATGAAGTCGCCTACAAAAGAGGATACTTTGATGAAGAAATCAACAAGACCTTGAACCAAAGCACAGATGAGACAAAACTGTTTTATGATCCCAACTCACAGCAGGAAACCACCTATGCACAACTTATGGATCAATGTGTCAGAGACAAAGAGACCGGACTGCCATTACTTCCCCTTTCAAAGAAGGCTCCAAAGCCGAAAGAGGACAAACAAATAACTGAGGCCAAAACCAAAGAGGCTCTAAACGAGAAGACAATGGAGCTGGAATATGGACCTTTCAAAGGAAGAAAAGTCACAGTTTGGGAGATCATAAACTCTGAATACATCACAGAGGAACAGAGAATAGAACTGATCCGACAGTATAGAATGGGACTGATAACAATCGAGAAGCTGATTAAGATTGTGATTACGACGGTTGATGAAAAAGAGGAAAAACCAAAGGAAGAAGCTTGTTTTGAAGGCCTGAGAGAACGGGTCAGTGCCAGCTCACTTCTTGATTCCAACATTATTGACAAGGCCACATTTGAGCAACTTCAGCAGGGCAAAAAGGCCCCCAAAGACATCAGCCAAACTGATAAAGTCAGAAAGTACCTGCATGGCTCGGACCGCATCGATGGCATCACCATGGAAGACTCTGATGAGAAGCTGAGCATATATGAAGCAATGAAAAGGAAGGTCTTACAGCATAACACTGGACTGGAACTTCTTGAGGCCCAAGCTGGGACTGGTTTTATAACTGATCCAGTGAAAAATGAGAAATACTCTGTGGATGATGCTGTTAAGGCTGGAGTCGTTGGCCCCGAGCTTCACGAGAAACTTCTGTCTGCTGAAAAGGCAGTGACAGGATACAAAGATCCATACACTGGCAGTAAGATTTCCCTGTTCCAAGCCATGAAGAAAGCTCTGGTGTTGAGAGAGCACGCTATTCCTATTCTAGAAGCTCAGATGACAACTGGTGGAATCATCGATCCAGTCAGCAGCCATCGTGTTCCTGTTGACGTTGCCGTCCAGCGTGGCATCCTCAGTAAAGAAATGTTAAAATCATTCAACGAACCGACAGGTGATATTAAGGGCTTCACCAACCCGGGCACCAATGAAAGGGTAACCTACAAACAGCTGCTGGAGGCATGCATTCGAGATCCCAACACAGGTCTGTGCTACCTGCCATTGCCAAAGGGTGAAGCTCCTGCAACGACTGAGAAGTCCTACGAGTACACAGAGGAGCAAACTCAAAAAGATCTAGCAAACACTCCTATTGAAATCCCACATCAGAGCTTTGCAGGAAGAACCATGACCATTTGGGACGTCATGAACTCAAACATGCTCCCTGAAAGCGAGAGACAGCGGCTGCTAGAACAGTATCGCTTGGGACAAATCACCAAGGAAAGGATGCTCATCATCATCATCGAAATCATTGAACAAAGAGAGACTCTAAAGCTGGAGCAGGGCATGTCGTGTGATGTGATCAGGAGAAGAGTCACTATCGAGGAGCTGTACAGCGCTCGAATTATTGACCTTCACACATACAACCTCCTGAAGCAGGAGAAGATGAGTATCCGAGAGGTGATGGAGATGCCATCGGTCAAGCAGTACCTCTTTGGGACAGGTTGCATTGCAGGGATTTTATCAGACAGTCCTCCTAAAATCAGCATTTACCAGGCTATGAAGAATGGCAAAGTTAAGCTTGAAGTTGCTTTGAAACTTCTCGAGGCCCAGGCAGCAACGGGATTCATGATTGATCCAGTGAAAGACGAGCTCCTAACAGTTGATGAAGCTGTACGTAAGGGCCTTGTTGGCCCTGAGCTCCATGACAAACTCCTCTCAGCTGAGCGTGCGGTAACAGGATACAGGGATCCATACAGTGGGAAGGTGATTTCTCTCTTCCAGGCCATGAAAAAAGGCCTGGTTCCTGAAGATTATGCCTTAAGGCTTCTGGAGGCACAGAATGCCACTGGAGGTCTGATGGATCCTGAATACTACTTCCACCTTCCTGTAGATGTTGCAATGCAGCGCGGATACATTAATAAGGAAACGCTTGACCGGATAACCGAACCTACGGCGGATGTTAGAGGTTACATCGACCCAGCGACCGATGAGGAACAGACCTATGCACAGCTGCTGAAGAGATGCAGGGTTGATAAAGAAAGTGGAATGCGGTTGCTGTCCCTGGCCGGCAGTCAGCTCTTCAAGGGTCTCAGAAGACAAATCACTGCAGACGAGCTCCTTCGTTCACAAATTATTGACCAAAAGACCTACAACGATCTCACTGATGGCCTCATCACAGTGGAGGAGATCAGCAGAGGACTGAAGAAGTACCTTGAGGGCACCAGCTGTATAGCAGGTGTGTATGTCGAGTCTACCAAAGATCGCCTTTCTATCTACCAAGCAATGAAAAAGAACATGATCCGGCCAGGAACAGCCTTTGAGCTGCTTGAGGCTCAAGCTGCCACAGGATACATCATCGACCCCATCAAGAACCTCAAACTGAATGTCACAGAAGCTGTTAAGTTGGGTGTCGTTGGCCCAGAATTTAAAGACAAACTCCTCTCAGCTGAACGAGCAGTCACAGGCTACAGAGACCCTTACTCTGGACAGATTGTCTCGCTTTTCCAGGCGATGAAAAAGGATCTCATTCTAAAAGACCACGGCATTCGGCTGCTTGAGGCCCAGATCGCCACTGGGGGGATTATCGATCCCCAGGGGAGTTACCGTTTGCCAGTGGAGACGGCATATGAGCGTGGCCTTTTTGACGAGGAAATGAATACGATCCTCACAGATCCCTCAGATGACACAAAGGGCTTCTTTGACCCAAACACAGAGGAAAACCTCACCTACCTGCAACTGATGGAGAGGTGTATGACAGATCCAGAAACAGGCTTTCGTCTGCTGCTGATGAAGGAGAAGAAACATGAGAGGAAGACGTCGTCCAAGTCTTCGGTTCGTAAGCGAAGGGTTGTCATCGTTGATCCAGAGTCTGGCAAGGAGATGTCTGTGTATGAAGCATATCAGAAAGGTCTGATTGATCACCAGACATACATAGAGCTCTCAGAGCAGGAGTGCGAATGGGAGGAGATAACGATAACTTCATCTGATGGAGTGGTAAAGTCCATGATCATCGACAGAAGGTCCGGACGGCAGTATGACATTGATGATGCAATCTCAAAAGGCCTGATAGATAAGTCTGCACTGGATCAGTACCGAGCAGGATCCCTGTCCATTACAGAGTTTGCAGACATGCTTTCTGGAAACATGAGTGGAAGCAGATCACGTTCCTCCTCCTTTGGCTCCTCCTCCTCCTATACCTCAAGCCCAGTACCTTCCATTAAAACACCAGCAACCACCTGGAATGACCCATCTGAGGAAACTGGGCCTGTAGCTGGAATATTAGACACAGACACACTGGAAAAGGTTTCTGTCACCGAGGCCATTCACCGAAACCTGGTTGACAACATAACAGGTCAACGGTTACTGGAAGCTCAGGCCTGCACTGGGGGGATTATTGACCCAAACACAGGAGAGAAGTTCTCTGTAGCTGATGCGATGAATAAAGGACTTGTGGATAAAATCATGGTGGACCGCATCAGTTTAGCCCAGAAGGCGTACAATGGATTTGAGGATCCCAGAACTAAAACCAGAATGTCTGCTGCCCAAGCCCTGAAGAAAGGATGGCTTTACTACGAAGCCGGACAGCGGTTCCTTGAGGTCCAGTATCTTACTGGTGGGCTTATTGAGCCAGATGCCTCAGGCAGAGTCTCCATTGATGAGGCTATGAAGAAGGGCACCTTAGACACCCGCACAGCCCAGAAGTTAAGAGATGTCAGCGCATATTCAAAATACCTCACCTGCCCAAAAACCAAGCTCAAGATCTCCTACAAGGATGCCATGGAAAGAAGCATGATTGAGGAAGGAACCGGTCTGCGGCTGCTCGAAGCATCGTCTCAGTCCACCAAAGGCCTTTACAGCCCGTACAGCATCAGCGGTTCTGGCTCTGCTACCGGATCACGATCCGGTTCCAGAACCGGTTCCAGATCAGGCTCCAGGAGAGGCAGCTTTGATGCCACGGGATCCAGTTTCACAACGACCTTCTCGTCGTCCTCCTACGGTTCTCCGAGCTATAGCCGGCGCTACTGAGGACGGATGTGCTTTAAAATCACAACGCTCACCAGATGCCTACTTCCCTGTGGAATAATAACTTCTTTTATTGTGTTCTGCATGGGGTTGTTACAACACTTGCAATTTTTTTTATTTTTTACCAGCTTATTTTTTTTTTGTTTATTGTATATTTGACTCCTCATTAGATTCATGATCATGTACTGTAAGCAGTACAATTGTCTTGGTTTGACTTTTTTTAATATTCATTTTAAGATACGTATTTAGTCTTCCACAAACATACAATCATTTCCCAAAACCTACTGTCGGACTGTTAACCCAACCAAATCGGATGTACAAACTAAGGTTTCTGTCCATGTGTATATTTCTGAAAAGTCAAGAGAAAACTCTTCTCTGCAGAGCAGAATATGGAGTCAATGGATAGTCTGCTTAAAGGATGCAAAGCTTCAATATCTTTCCTCTCCTGGGCTTCACTGCCATATTTACTCTGAAATGCATAAACTCAGCTTCATCACCAGGTTCTGAGCGCTGCAGTTAGAGCGACGTGTGCACACAGTGCAACAGGCACCAAGCAAGGAACATCTGCCTGTTTGACTCGGATTGTCTAAATTCCTGCTTATCGTGGAGGCACAGAGAGCCGATTATAAAGAGAAACTTTGGATTTAGTTTGATATCCGATTTCGAGGATCGAGTGTGTTGAATATCTGTGTGCGCTACTCGGACTCGTCTATCCGGGAGCCAAACGTGTAAAAGAGGGATATGAAGCTAACTAGAGGGAAACGCGCTGCCTTGGTAATTTGTGCAGTTTTGTGCTGAACGCCCTAAAAAGAAAAGGCGACGACGGAGCTACTACGATAGGAACTACTCTGGTAGCTACTTCGGTCAGTCAGTTACAGAAAGAACTCTATGTAACTCGCGTTCCCACCATGCTTCTGTGTTTTCGTCTGAGAGAAAGAAGAAGAATCCTAGTTTGCGTTGTCACTACCCGATCCGTCCCGGAAGCACGATCCGTCCTGCGTAAACAGAATAACTTCTGGGTAGGCGAATACTTAGTTTTTCTTACTTTTTTATTATTTTGTCCTTTTCGTGCCGGAGGGCTACCCACCTCTCCCCATTTATATCACGGTCTAACAGTTACTTTGTTCACCTGAAACTGACCTTTTTTCAGTTTTGTTATCGATCAGGTAAAACTTCATTGGTCATTAGACACGCTAACGCTACAGATGCTCCAGACTCGGCACACTGACGCTGCGGGATGTTGTTATCGTTGTCTGTTTGACATCATGTGGCAACGTTCAGCCAATCATGTAGCGTAACGTCACTGGCAGGAAGCAGGACCAGAGCAGATCTGGTAGCTACGGCGGCTTTAAAACGCCACATCGCTGAAACACCAGCGCTGCTCTGCTGCTCGGTTCGGTCGCGTTGCTCTAAAAATCTGCAGAAGACTCTTTGAGCTTTGGTTGTTCAGAGAAGCATCCAACTGATGCATGACTCAAAGCTCAGCTAAAAAACAGCTTCCAGCCGTAAAAACCCTGCTGGTTACAGACGTCAGGCCTTCTTTAGCCCAGGTTAACGTCACTCACTCACAGTTTTAATCCCTAGACTTCGTATTCAGACTGTAGGGATGATAAATGAACAGCAGGAAAAGCCATAAGTTAAAATTTTTTGAGGAAGATCTTTAAGCTTTGCAGCACATCCAGTATTTGTATTCGACACTAAATGTACTTATTTCATGTTAAATCTTCTTTGTAAAGCAGCCCATTGATCTATATCTCATTTTATTTTCATATTCTATATTTCTGCTTCGCATGATTTACTAACATATAATAGAAGCAGCAGGTATTATATCCTTCCAAGCTTATTTTTTGCTGTTTCTAGAGGCTTGAAGGATTGTATCTTAGTGAGGGTTCATCAAGCCTCGTTTGGTGTATTTATAAAAATAAAAATGGGTTGTGGAAGTTTGTTGTTACACCTTAAGCCTGTAAATAAACACAGAAACTAAAAAGAAAAAAGTGTCTTTTTGTTTTTATTACTTTTTATTATCAGCTGTCGTTATCAGATCAAGATGAATGCCTGCTGTAAAACAAAACGTGTTTTTTATAATTGAAATATACTCAGAAAATACAACAAAACACATAATCATCAACATTTTTTTTTGTTTAATTTGTAATTTGTTTAGTCATTTATTTTAAGATGGATACTTTATTAATTCATTTAAAACACTTAAACTATTTATGACATAAGAGTGTTTTATTTGTGACACTTTTTCATGTAAACAATTACACTAAAAAATTATCTTGAAAATTTATTTTGATATAAAAACAAGATAGAAATAATTAAAGCTAAATGAATGAATAAAGTTTTAAGTAAAGAAATGCATAAAGTTAAGATTTTTTTTTTTATAGAAAATGTTTTATTAAATAACAGAGGTGTTAAAACTATTCATGTTTATTCCTCTAGAATAAATCCTGCTGTTTAAAAACACTTTGGTAGAAGTTAGAGGATCGACTTCAGTTTTTTACTCCAGTAAAATGTAAAAGTAGCATTTTAAAAAATATACTTAAGGTATAAAAGCAAATGCAGGCCAGAAGCTTTACTGTATGGAAGAGGATTAGGGCCACTGAAAAAAAACAAAAAAGTTAACTGATTTTTAAATTTTATTTCAATTTAATATGGGAAAAAAGTCAGAATTCTGAATTAAATCTCAGAATTGTGGATCTTAATGTAGATGGTCACCATAAAGGAAGAGATGTGGAGCACTCAGCTTCACTGACAAAGATGTGAGTTGTTTGAGGTGGCCAGTGACACATTGGTGGAAAATGACGGAATTAAGCAACTTTTTACGTGCCTGAGGGGTCCCCTCATTAATGGAGGAGCAGAAGGTCATTAAAATTAGAGAGCTAGTCTCTAAAACAGACATGGCTATGGCTTGATGCTAACATGTTTGTTAGCGGTCAGAATTCTGAGAAAAAAGTCAGAATTCTGTGAAAAAAGTCAGAATTCTGACTTTTTTCACATACTAAACTGAAATAAAATTTAAAAATCAGTTAACTTTTTTTTTTCCCCACTGGCCCTAATCTTCTTCCGTATTACTGCCCTACTCTATTAAAGGAAAAAGTTTCTACAATTCTGGATGATAACTTTCTTAGACTTCATTTTCTTAGTTTTAAAACTAATGGTAACAGAGTCACATTTAACTTTACATCATCTTGAAAAACTATTTATGTTGGTATGTGGTGAGCAACAAGTTGGGGCAGCACCAACCTAAATTAAATACCAACAGGCTATAATGAAAATTAGCTTAAATGAAACAAAACTAAGGAATCTATTTTTAAAATGTAAGGAGTAGAAGCAAAAAGTTGTCGATAAGATAATTACTCCAGTAAATTATAGATAAACAACATTTCTTCTTAAGTATTTTATTACTTGACACCTCTGATAAACAGTATTTTACATTTAATTTTTAATAAAGTGTCTCCATCTCACCTCTGCACATGACGTCATGTATGACATAATTCCAACGGGTTCTTGGACCCTCGTGGCCCTTTAACACCTGGTTTTGGGGGAATCTCACTGATCTCTATTCACTGGATTGCTGATTGCCCGAAAAAAGTGAAGCTACCGTCGGCCATCTTGGTACTCCCCACTCCCACTACAATGCCTCCCTCTGCAGAAACCAGCAGTTTCCTGGCAGTTGGAAGTTTTTTTCACAGGTAATTTTACAGTCAGGGTCAGTGTGAGCATACATGCTTATATGTATAGTTTTTCAAATGATCAAATTCTTGTAACTAAGAGCAAAAAGCAAAATATGAACTTGATGTTTTCTGTTATTTTACCAATTGATGTGATTCTGCTAGTGTAGAAAGTGAAGCTCTGGAGTGATCAAACTTTTAAATCTGTCAGACTTAAAGGAATAGTACACCCAAAACATGATTAGCCTTCATTTTCTACTCCCCCCCATGCTGAACAACACTCTGGAGTACTTTTTTGATATCTCAAATGCATCTGGAGATCTGGGAGGCTTCTTGCTGTCTGCTGACATTCAAATAATGGAGGTCTATGGCGCCCGAGACAGAAAGGTCCACAAAAGTCCACAAAAACTTGTCAATATTCCTCCATACTGCTCGTCCAATGTAATCCAAGTGTCCTGAGTGGGTAGCATCCAGAATTTACTCGAAACGAAGTCATTTAGAACGTTTTAGAGCATAAACAGTAGTGTATAGGATTTCCTAATAGCGCCCCCATGCGCGCTCACGATTCTACGAAAGCCGGCAGACCAAACCAGCGCATTCAGCTCGGCAAAGAACTCATGCTCTTCCTCAACACTGAAGTCCTCAGACATTTTTCTTTCGTTGTTTCTTTCTTTGCACAGGTAAACAGCACATTTCTTCTTCTACGCTTGCATTATCGGCAGACCAGACGCTGAATGCGCACTTTCTTCCGGTTTGGTCTGCCGGCTTCCGTAGAATCGTGAGCGCGCATGGGGGCGCTATTAGGAAATCCTATACACTACTGTTTATGCTCTAAAAACATTCTAAATGACTTCGTTTCGAGTAAATTCTGGATGCTACCCACTCAGGACACTTGGATTACATTGGACGAGCAGTATGGAGGAATATTGACACGTTTTTGTGGACTTTTATGGACCTTTCTGCCTCGGGCACCGTAGACCTCCATTATTTGAATGTCAGCAGACAGCAAGAAGCCTCCCAGATCTCCAGATGCATTTGAGATATCAAAAAAGTACTCCAGAGTGTTGTTCAGCATGGGGGGGAGTAGAAAATGAAGGCTAATCATGTTTTGGGTGTACTATTCCTTTAAAGGCTAATTTAAAGACGCGGCATAAAGTATACGGCATCATGCATGCAAAATTTGCAAATAGAAAAATACTACAGCATAAACAGACATGTGCTTTTAATTCAGTCTTTATGTAAATGTTTTAAAATACATGTAATTATTGTAACAATGACTTCATAATGACTCTGCAATGTGATGGGCCGAATTTTTTATTCTCAGTTAAAGTTAATCTACTGATGCTGTGAAACAGCCAGTCTGTGTCAAAGTGATGAATTTATCCCCCTGAAAATGAGAACATCATTGCTGTTCGATGCTGTGGTGCACAGATTGTTTACATTGAGACTGGTCCAATGAGGGAGTACCAATATGGCAGCCGGTGGCTTCACTTGGACCCCTTAATACCAACGAGCAATCAGCAATCCAGGGAATAGGGGGTTTTCAGTGACGTCACTGGCCACCTCCCGGTCCGCCATCTTGGGTGGCATATTATCGTATATTAAATATATCATGTCGCGAATGGATAAGTACGCCAGCACGCTAGAGCCACCAGATCATGGAACATATCTGAGGAAATGTTCCGTGATCGACCATATGGACCCCTATGCCCTCCACGGTGCCTTGTTTAGCACTAATCCAGATGATTGGCCAAATGTAGAGCACGGTAACATAGTTCATTACCCGGTGTTCAGTGAAAACCCTCTGCACACTCTGGAGGGAATGAGAGCGTACAAGGGTCTAGAGGCTCACAACCAGTTCACATCTGGTTGGGTACGAGATGTCGAAGTGATGTACATGAAGGAAATCGCCATCATACGTGGACGGGTGAGTTTTAATAAGATGGTAAAAATGTAAACAATCCGACGCAGGGCTCGCTATGCTAGGTGGCTAACGGCCGGCGGTGCGCGAACAGTTCCAAAGCTACAAGTCCTTGGAGTCTCATGTGCAGTTTACGAATGGATGGGTTCAGGAGCTGCAGCTCATAAAGCCAGCAAACAGTGCTAACCGTTAGTGCTAACAACCACTCAGGCATGTAATGTACTTTTAACTAGCTGCTATGTTTTTCAAAGGTTTGGTTAGTAACGTTAACTGCCAAACCTCCCTAAACCCTCCGGGTTTCTCACATATTTGAGCCTTTTCCCGCCGGTTGAAATCAAGTTAAGGTGAAATTAATCAAATTAAAACACGGCTGAGAGAGGGAGTCCAGTACGCGGTGGTCATAGGCAGTAGTCTGAGTAGCGGCGGCGGAGACGGTCAACATTGCGGCCACGGAAAGTAATACGTCATGACGCCTAAGCCCTATTATTAATATATTCTTACATGTTTTAAATGCTTGACAGTTAATTACCTGTGACAAAGTGAGCACTGCAGACTCTGGCGTGTTCCAGCTTCACACCGTCCAAATCGGACCTGGATATCCGTGTCAGCCATAGGTGACGGCGTTGTTCAGATAGCTGTTTTGTTTTTTCACATTGATTCACGATTACGGCTGGTATGCGATAGAAAGAGCGTTGATCTCCACCTCCACGGGCCGTGCAACCAACAATTACACACGATTTCACCATTTTTCACTGTCAATACTGCCTAAGGCTACCACCCAATATTGCGGACGCGCTGAGTAGTCACGTGAGCGCGACGTCACATGAAAACCCCCTATAGAGGTCAGTGGGGACTCCCCCTGGAGGTCACAGGTGGCACCATGTTGATGGAAAGGCTGCGTCTGATTGGTCAGTTTATTGCTAGATTAGTTCCCACAATCTGGAGAAAAAAAAATCCAAACCCGGGCTGGATTATTACCGCCATGTCAGAACCAAGGTGGCCCGAATGCTCCCGGTCTGCAGCCTCCTCACCCAGCAGAGCCGGGTCCAGAGAAGGGTCTGAAATGGTGACGGAACCCGGAGCGTCGAACCGAATCCAGGGCCGCTGCAGAACAGGCTGGACCTGCAGGGCCCCGGGGCCCTCAGAGTGTCTGGAGCCACCGGCCTCACGGTAGGAACTGCTTCCACACCTTTGGTGGATTTCAGTGAAAAAAAAAAGATTTTTTGAATCAAATTTAGAAATCAGAAGAAAATATTTGGTGATAAAATTTTCCATAATTAGATCAAATTTACTTCTAATTAGAAATTAGTGCAACAGAAAATAACAAAAGCAATATGATCAAAATAAAATTTCTACTCATCCAGTGGGATTATCTACATTCAGATTAAAACCTTTAGCA